CCTGTCTGGCTTAAATACCAGGTTCTTGTAAGCAAACCACTGTAAGGAAAAAAAAAACAGAATTAAACCACATGTTAGCGCCCATCACACAAAATGAACCAAGTCTTAAGATTCAAGAAGCACTCATGATAAAATCAAAAGTCAATATTGAAAACATAACTTGCATACTCCTCTATAACTATGAATCAGAGGACTAATCCTAAACCCAATAGCGATGATGACAAATCAACTCTAAATCTTTAAAACAGGTTGGTTAACTTAAATCTGGTAATGATTCAAACTACATAACAAAAGCAGAGATGAGATTAGTAAAAACTCACCCCAGTGTAACCAATGCCTACAACTTCAAGAACACCAGGAACTAATGGAAGCCTGTCGATAGCCTGTTTCACAACAATTTCCACAATTTGGAATCAAAACAAAAGAAACTTAACAACAACAATAAAGAGTTTTGAAGATGTAATGAATGAATCTCCTCACCGAGACCACACCAGCAGTTCCCCAAAGAGCAACAAAACCAGAAACCGCGAGAGAACTAATTGCATACTTATCCTCCACTTTCTCCCACTACAAATCAAAAGAATTCAAGTTCACAAAGCAGAATCAATTCATGGTTTTTTTATTGAAGAAACGTGAAAGTAAGAGGTCTTTACAGCTTCTTGAACGGTCTTGACTATATCAGGTAACTCAGTACCCTCAGCTTCGGTATTGGTGGCAGGAGGAGAAGCTTCAACTTGGGTAGTGGTGGCAGCAACTTCAACATCCGCAGCTCGCGTCAAAACGTTCCTCACTATCTTCCGACCTTTAAAAACCAAAAACCCATTTCTAAAGTTTACATTTTTACAACTTCAAAAAAAAAAAAGGAAAAAAAAAAGGTTTCAGATTTATCTTGAACCGACAGTAAGCAGTGGCTTTAGCGGCGCGTGTCTGAGACTGAAGAAGCTGAGGAGGAAGCGTTGGAAGGGAGATACACGACGGAGAAGAAGCGGAGGCTTGTCGATGAGGAAAAGGAGGAGCTCTTGAATCGATGATTGTAGAGGAGGAAGAGACTGAAAGTGAAGAAGCCATGGCTTGAAGAAAATCACAGAAAGACCAACGACAATGTTGTCTGATCAGAAGCAAATTAGTATTGTGTAGTAATTATTATTGTCTTGAGATTAGTGGAGAACAAGTGCTTTGTGGAGATGGTTTCTCTGTGAGCAGTCGGAAACGATTCCACCACTCGTTTTGGGTTTCCCCGATCAGGATAGTGCTGACGTGGCGGACGTAGAGGCGATCCTGGTGTTTTGATTGGATTATGGATTGAAAACGAGTGTGGTATTATATGCCCAGAACACATGAAACGGGCCTTGGTTTCCATTTAGCGCAAAGACATGTGGGCTTTCAACCTTTTGGACCCAATCAGTATTCACAACCCAAATGGCACATTATGTTTGTCAAGAAAAGAAAAAAGTCAAACCCCAAAAGAGAGGCAAAAGCAAAAGAAAAAAAAAGAGACAATGAATCATGAATAAGAAGACACAAAGGTCAAACATTGATATACATCTATCAGATGGGTCCCTAAACTCTGTAGAGTACCCCTCTTTAAAACAAAGTCAAAGTGCCATGCCGAGAACTAGAAGACTCCAATTACATACCAACAAAAACCATCTTATTATTAATTAATTAATCCTTCGCATACTCGAGAAACAGAAGCTACGAAAAGAACGTTACTTTTTTGCTTTTTCTTTGATTTTCATGTCTTTTAATTCAGCAATGAAATATCTGACGAACCGCCGCCGTTATCTCATCGGCCGATGTCAAACTACAGTCTTCTTCCATCTAACAAATAACCAAAAAAGTATAACTTTTGCTTTATCAATTTTGTGTTAATTAATAAGCATTTTTAGTTGTTAAGTAGTACCTTGAGGTTGAAGGAATAAGAGACAGATGCATTGCATGGAGATGTAACGTTGAGATGAAGAACAGTGAATCTAAGCTTCTCTAGCCAAATGATTGTTCTCAGAAGTTGTCCTTGTCTCTTCGGACATTGTATTTTGAGATTCACGTGACTCTCTATCACCGTTGCATCGATTCTCAGTTTACTACTTTGTTCTTCAACATTACTCACACGCAACGAAATGTCTTTGCTATCAGTTTGTTGTTGTTGAGTCATCTTCTCCGCTTCAAGTGATTGCAACTGTTGCTCGAGGATCTTTACAAAGTCTATAGCTCCTCCTACTATTGACGCTTGGTCTCCCTATTGGATAAAGAACAGAACTTGTTAGAAAAATTCAACGTTGTTGTTGATAAAGGTTGAGACTTTGTAAGTGATATATATACTCTGAGGATGTAGGAAGATGGGATGAGAGAGCGGAGTGAGTTGAGATGAACGTTCATTTGGCGTCTGCGGTTACGCTCAACCGCTATGTGTGTCATTCTCTGACTCTCCATCTCTTCTGTGTTCTTTGCTGGTTTGGTTCTCTTTCTCTTTCTCTTCTCTCTGCTCACTGATGATGCTGCCAAGTTGTTGTTTCTGCGCTTGCGTAGTGGGTTTAATTGAAGTTCTTGGCGTGTGATGGCTTCATTGATTTTTTCCAGAGATGGGTTGTGATGGTAGTAGTTGGTTTCTGACGGTGAATGAAACTCTGGAACTTCATGTGGGAGATAGTTTCTGAGTTCCCAAGGCGGCTTCTGGAGTGTTTGAAGAGAGAGTAGTGATAGAAAGTTTGGGTCTTTCAAGGACAAAACAGAAGATGTGTCTTCACTTTGTTGCATCATTTGTAGATATGGGAATCTTGTTTCTTGCAAGAATGGATCTTCCTCAAGGGCAAATCTTTGATCCTCTGTTGATCTTTGGACTTCTAAGCTTCTTCTCACATTCACTTTTTGATCCAAAGACTGCAAGGAGAAAACAGAGGAAGGTGATACCTAACAAGTTAGTGTTAGATAGAAAAAGAAAGAAAACTTTAAAATGAGAGATGTAGTGATATTAGTTAGTGGGTCAGTGTAGAGAAAACAAAACTAGAATGAAAAAATGGAATGTTTCAAAGAGAGGGAAACAGTTGACAGCAGATTTGTTAGTGCCTTTGGGTATAACAAACATCAAACAGCATTGAATGCAAAACCCTTCTGGACTCATATGGGTAAATGCAAGTGGAAAACATTACAAGAAAGAAACTTAAAGAAAAACGTTCCTAATTGAGATAAAGATACATTACACAGAGCTTGTTTTGTCCTTGAATCTTCTCCATAGCAAAGCTGAGAAACCTCTCTTGTTTGTATCTCTCTGGAAATAAATGTAAAAGGACTTTTTGAAGAAGTAAAAAACAAGAAACTCTCTGCTAAGCCGTTAGCTTTTTATATAGAACAGTGGTCTTAAAATGCTATCAAGATGTTGAAGAGAAAAGGGGAAACTGAAAGTGAGATATGAGAGAGAAAAGGAAGTAAACAAAGAGGTAAAATAGAAAAAAAAAGTAAAAAAAAAAGAGATGCTAATAGATGTTTGGTTAAAGGACTGAAGATGAGTTGGTGAGGGTGAGCAGATGAGAGAGAGGAGAGAAGAGAGAGTCTCTGACAGAAGAAAGGTCCCTCAATAAAAACATTATTGGCTGTAGCAGTTTTGTCTGGCAGCGAAGACAGACAGTTGTGGGGACTTTTGTTAATACTCAGTGGATGATGAAGAAGATGAGAGCTTCTTCCATTGTTTTGTGCCTTAACAAAAGCTAATGAACCTTCAAGTGTTTGTTCATTTTATACCTATTAACGCGTGAATCCTGGCTTCTTATCTGCTAAGCATACAAGTGTTGATGCCTTGTCTTTGAGGGTACTAACTAGTGTTTGTATCTTTTATTTGCTTCATCAGGTTCTATATTACACTTTACTAGCTGTAAAAAAAAACAAAACGGTAACACTTGTTTTACACAAGTCCTAATCAAACGATTATGCATACTTACTTCACTGCAATATCTACACGTTTCTAGATAACTATAGTTTGTTATCTATCAAAGTTATATCTCTTTGAGGACAAACAAGAACGTAGATTTGATCATCAAAGCTCACATGAAGAGACCTTATCCATGTTATAGTCTCAGTTGTGGCCTCTGTTTATCTCACGTGTTGAGTCTAACACAGCCAAAACTAGTCTCTTTTCTCGACGAGATCCAATCCAAGCACAGATTAACCCAGAAACACAATATCAATTTGTCTGCATTCTATAGATCTCGTTCATACTACTGTATGTAATAAGAACCAGAAAGGCCTAAGCAAGTTAAAAAAAAAGATTCAGACTTATGCTATAGAAGCCTTATCAACAACTACTTGGGTGTTTTGAGATTTCATCTCTCTGTGTGTACTTGCTGATGTAACTTACGAGTTCTTGTTACCCGACTCTCAGGACAAACATGGCCCAGTTGTGACGTATCATTAAAAACTCTAAAAAGTCAATCAGATCCTGCTTCTCACACATTCACAAACCCTGTGACTTCTAGGAAGATGATAAATCTAACTGAAGGCAGAAAAGTTGAGATGACATCTCTTGTTCTTAAGCAAGTTGTGTCCTTTTCAACACTTTCTGAAAAGACAAAAAGCTTACTAGAGCTCAACCAAACAAAGTTGACACATAACTTTAAAACTATAACTAAAAGCAGAGAGACAGAGAATATGAAATCGATCAACTTTATTGATTTTATTGTTATTAAAGAGAATAATACTGATACAAAAGACTCTTGAGATGTTTCACAATGCTTTTACCGTTCGATTTGTATTGTAACATGACTGATATTGTACTCCCTGCGGATGTAATCAATGACCTTGTTGAGCACCATATCTGCATCTGCCTCTGGTGTGATATTGACATGGCAAGCAAGCAGCACTTTCCCCACTGTGATAGCCCAAATGTGAAGCTCATGAACAGCCACCACTTCTTCCATTTCGAGCAAACCCTTTTCAAGTTTTGTAGCGTCAATCTCTCTGGGTGTACTCTCCATCAATACCTCAAGGATGCTTCTAATCATGTTGATGGTTGTTGCCAAGACAATAACCGAAAAGATAAGAGTGCAGATCAGATCAACTATCTTCCACTCCGGCTTGTACCAAATGATGCCTCCTCCAATCATAACACCAACGCTCTGGATAGAGTCTCCAAGGACATGGAGATAAGCTCCTTGTACATTGATGTTCCTCTTTCTCTTCTCTTTATCCGGCTTTGATTTGTCCAGCAACTGCTCTGTAACATCCCCATGAGCGTGATGATGCTTGTCCTCACCATGACCATGATGATGATGGGTGGTAACAGTCACCCCACCGTGAGTGTGATGGTCATGACCATGGCTGTGTCCATGACCATGACCATGACTGTGACCATGATCATGCCCTAGCAGAACAGCCATTACGATATTCACCAACAGCCCAAACGCAGCAACAAGAAACATAAGGAACCCATTAACCTCACTAGTCTCAGTAAGAAGTCTGATAATAGCTTCATAGACAAGAATACCAGTGAGCAACCAAATGAGCTGGATAGAGACAAGAGCTCCAAGTATCTCAATCCTGAAAAACCCATAAGTCTGCCTAGGAGTCGCTTCCCAGCCAGCAGCCCACAAGGAGAACAAGGAGATGGCAAATGCAGCAACATCAGAGAGAAGATGAGCTGCATCGGTTAGTATAGCCAAGCTATTAGCTTTGATCCCACCAAACACTTCAACGGTCATGAACAAAAGACATAACACCACAGCGATACAGAGCTTTCTCATCGAAGCATTGCGTTCCTCTGCGTCACCAGAGGCATTGTTAAGATCTGAAAACCCACAAGGTGCTTCTCCACAGACTTTAACTGCACCAAGTGTTGTTCTTTCTTCATCAGGTTTTGATGCATTAACCTCAATGATGTGACTATGTTGGGGGCTTGAAGGCTCCATCTGAAACGGTTAAAAAAACGTGAGAATGAGACAAGAACTACAGAAGACAAACAGTACTAAACCATAGATCAGTTACCTGTCTGATAAGAAAAGAGTAATCACAATGCGAGAGAAGGCACAATAGGTTTCCGAATGTGGTAACTCTGTTTAAACAAAAAAGAAAGAAACTTTACATACACAAAGATTAAATAAGAGGACGGTTGGACATGTATACCACTACTAGTAAAAGTAGACAGAAAAGGAGGAGGTTCTTCTAGCACAACACTCAAACGAATACGAATATAATAACAAGCTAGTCAACGGTAACACATCATATAATAATCATCATAACCAGAGTCAAAACCCTATAAAAAACCCATAACTTTAATCCACACATACAAAAAAAAAAAATACTGGTTCAAGTTTTGACCTCAAATAATAAATGTAAAAGACAGAGAGAATGAAAGCGTCATAATCAGACCAGTTCCAGATGTCACAATCAGATAAAACGAAGAATCTAGCAACGCTAACAAATGATTAATAAGACCGAATCAAAGTGTAAACTATAATAATAGCTAGCAATCAGACTAAATCCAGATATGCTTGGTGAAAAACCCCTAAAAACATTGGCGGCTTGAGGAAGATAAGAACAAAGCCTGGACCTTTTGAGAAAATAAAAAGAAGCTTACCAGAAGAAGAAGAGGGACAAGGTTGAAGGTACTTGGTGGAAGATATTCACCATTGATTCCAAAAACCCTTTTAAAGAGATAGATTCACTCGTGCCTGTCTGTGCCCAGCAGCTAAAAGGATGTGCCTTTTGTATTTAAAAAACAAAAAAAATGGAGGCCGCCACCGATGGTCACGAGATCCACCTAACCCTTTCCTTCTGGGTGGGTCCTTTTTCTTCACTTATCTCCAATCTCTATGGTTCCTCTTTGACGGTCAAAGCATGATCCACGTGCCCCAAAACTTCTGAACCCCTTATATCTAAACCGAGCTGGTATATATAATAAGTGGTTTGCTGGTGGTTATTTACGGTTAGGAACTCTCTCTTTTGTGACACTTTCAAATTATACAAATCTTTCTCAACTTTCAGAACAGATTTATTAAACTTTCTGATTGAATAATGAAAATGCTTAGCAACTTTTGATCATTCGCAGAATATATATACAAGAGGGGGAAAATTTGACCCAGTTTCTCAGATCAGCTGAGAAGAAAACACACACAAAAAGCCACACTAGATATATAAGTAACAACAACAGCACATCTAATTAAGTCTCTGTTATGTGACAAACTTTGGAGAGTTTTTTAGTTAAAAGCTTCAAGAGTTTTTATTTATTTAGACGCATCTGAGTTAACGGCACGCACGAACTGGCCTTTCACACGTGGACGCTGCTCTGCTAGCTTCTTCCTGCTTTGATATCTTACCTGTAATATACATAGTCAATTCGATCAGTTTTTGATCTTTTGTTGTATCTTCTCAAAGTACCAATACAACATTAGCTAAGTTGTGTGTGTGTGTCTCTTTACCTTTTTACCAAAGCATCTATCTTTCCTCTTCAACCTAAACTTTAGCAGTGCAGCTTCTCTCTGACTCCGACGTTGCTCTACACTCAGACCACCTTCTTCTCCCTCTTTTACTCTTTGTCCTGCGACCCACTCATTGGTGCTTTCTGAACCAAGTTCCTTGCTTGCTTTCAGGCTGTTTGAATCTACTGGAAATAGAGAATCTTGCGTTTGTTTCGTTACTTGGTTATGGAAGCTCAAACTTGATGATCCGATATGCTCTTGGTTGCTGCTCGTTGTAGCGCTTCCGTGATCAGATGTTACTCTTCTTAGCTTCTCATGTGATTCGCTTGGTGTCTTTGGCTCACCTGAGCTACTCGGCTCTACGGCAACTTCTGCTTTCTCTGCTGGCTGGCTATTCTCATATCTACAAGTTAAAGGTAATGCTACTGATTAAAACACTACTTATATAATATTGACACAGTTCTCTTTATAGTAAGCAAAACCAACCGTGAGAAGGCAGATTCATCGGAGAGGCTAAGCTTCTGTTGCTTGGTTTTATCTTGCTTCTCAAAACTTCCAGAGCAAGATCTTTTCAGAGAAAGTCCAAGCTCTGGACCAACATACTCACCACGTGTGTTGTCTCCGTAAAAACACTCAGGCCGTTTATCAATCCCACCGATCAAATCCATTGTCACATCAATAGATTCAAGCTTTTTGTCAGAATCCTTAACATCCGTCATTATTAGCTTACTGTGACCGTTGTAGCTGGTAGCCTGCGTAATTTACAGGTTACAGTATATCAGCATCTATTGAATAAAAGGTCTGGAATAGTGATAAACTGAAATAGGTAGTAACATCCATACCTGAGCACCACTTCCATGATCAGAATGATATCTGGAATCTGCACTAGTTTCATCATTCTCTTCAAGGTTCTGCTGTGAAGCTGGTAAGCTAAGACCATGAGAAATGTAACCATCACGCACCTGATTCATAACCAAAAAATGACAATAATAAGTCTTCCAAACTTGTAAAAAAAACACACAAGGAAACATAACATATATTTAACGTACAGCAAGTCTTCTCCAGACATGTTGCCATAGATTCTTCAACTCGTTCTTCCTCATGGGTTTAATCAGATAATCAGCAGCACCTCTAAGCATACACTTCAACACCAGTGTCATCGAATCCTCCGAAGACATCACTATTCATTTTACAAAAAGCCAAAAAGCATCAGAACAACAAAAACTCAAGAGAAGCGTTCTCAGATACATAAAGAACGGACTTAGGGGATCACCATCGTACTTATGACAGGAATGCTCTTGCAAGCTTCATGCTCCATCACCAAAGCAAGTAGAGCAAAACCAGATATAGCCGGCAAATCAAGCTCCGTTAATACAAGGTCAATGTTATGTGACTTCTCCTTTAGAATCTCCCACGCAGCTAAACCATCGGAAACAGCTACAACTGTTTTAAACCAGACATACTCTTCTAACTTCAAAATCATGACAAAGGACGAAACTTTAAAACATTTCTATTAAAAACAGAGTAAAGGAATAACCTTTGTAAGAGCAGTTCCGAAGAAGAGCTGTGATGATTTGTCGAGTTGAGTCATCGGATTCAACAAGTAAAACCCTAAGCACCGTTTTCGGAAGATACTTCTCCCATCGGACAATTTCAGATGATTTGCCTCTGCTCATCATCGTCTCCGTAGTACCATCTTCGCTGCTTAAAACCACAATCTCTCCCATTGATTTTGAGCTCAAAACAGAGAAAAAAAACAGAGCTCGAAACAGAGCACGGTAACAGCAGATAAAGTCACAAAAAGGTATCTGATTTCGATCTTAGCCCGCCGGAGGAAATCGTTTTGAATCAAGGATTGAAGAGAAGAAGACAAGTTTGGATCAGAGCCGCTCGAATCGCGAAAATATCGAAGACTTTGTTCTGTTTCAGAGGAAGACGAGAATAAAAATAAACAATTTGGGGAAAATCTAATTAACGGTGAATATTAATGCGGGCCGTCAGTGGGCTGACGTGGCGTAATTTGGGCCATTATTTTGATTTTTTCCGTATCGTGGCTGATTCGTTATAGATGGCGGTCCATAGTACACGTGTCGGAATAGATTGTTTTGCGGAAGTGGAGATTATTCGGCTACGAGTTGCCACGTGGGTAATGAGACTAGTGGTTGTGTGCACGACACGTTGGATTCGGGTGTATTTGTGTGGCTGAGTTTGATCAATAGGATGTTGATTGGTTTTCAAAAGTAGATATTTTTGTTTTCAGCAGCTCTGTGTATCATTCAAATTGGATGGTGTTATCCTTTTTTCAAAAAGCATATTATATATCGTCTTTAATATTACTTTCTCTATTACAAATAAAATAAAATTTACATTAATATCCAATTATATTTGTACAAATATTTTGATTAATCAGTTTATATGGATGTAAGCAAGTAATAATTTAAAAATAATTATAACTCAAATGAAGGAAACTATTAATATTTTGTAATTTCGAACTCATTGTTTATGACGTAAATGTTACTTTAAATATATTTTCCATGTTCTGGAACAATCAATAAATTTTGCTTAGGTGATAAATAATGTAGTTGTTGCATTAAAAGTTCAACTGTTTAATCTTGACAGTAAAATTGTTGGATTATAAAAAAAAAATACGAAATGGATTCAAAGTGTTAGAAACACCAAATACAAAGTGAATGGATCCTGAAGAGATAATTTTATTAGTTAACAAATTTTTTGAATTTTGTATCTTATCAATTATTAAACTTGAAATTTTTTGTAAAAGGAAATTTATATCATAATTCGTAATATTTTATGATCTTTAGATAGAGATTATTCTCATTTCATTAAATACTAAAAACATATGTCAATTTTCACTATATTTTTTATTAATTTAGTTAAAATATAAACAAATAATATGTCATCTTAATTATTTAAGTTAATTATAATAGAATTTTTTTGATATGTAATTATTAATATATAAAGGATAAAAATATGAATTAAAATAATGGGTTAGAGTGTTAAATTTTATTAAATAAAATTATCATAGAAATTAAAGTTGAAGTAGATGTTGAATGATTAGTGGAAGAAGGACAAATGATGTATAGTGTTAAAAAAAATAGACTATTGAATTAACTAACTATTGTAGATAATCTTAGGTAGGGAAAATGTTCCATCAAAAAGAAAATTCTATTCTCGAGCCTCTGGATATGGACATATGTCTTCTACATATAACAATAGTTAGTGGCCTTTGTATAAATTTAGGCCTTGTATAAATAATACTTGCCCTTCCATTGACAAACTTGAATTCACAATCGGGTTTATATAAGAACCTAAACTCTTATGGTTTGGGTCATGTGTGTATTGCATATATGATTTTGACTCCGGAATCTGGATAATTTTCTTTGTTGTTTTGAACAGCTTCTACGGATGCCAGTTTGATCTGGTGAATGGTGGTGAAATGTCTCAGCTTGAGTATATCACAGCTGCCAAAAACTGCTTCTGTTTTGTTTAGATGCATATATATACGCTTTAGTTCCTTTTCTATCTCTGCTACTTAAGTGGTGAGATTTGATTGCCACACTTTGTGTTGTGGTTGATTATATCTTCTTGAATCTATGCAACCTTTGCAAGGCATCTTTTATTAAACCATAAACCAAATCACTGAGTTTTTGTCATTGAAAAGACTAAGTATATATGTAACTACATCACAAAGAATGTAAGTGGCTCTGCTGTTGAGTAATTTCTTGAGGAGCTGGTTCAATAGTACCATTGAGAAAAACAGAGAGCTTTGGAGACCTCTTTGAGACCAGGATCACTGAAATTCACACAGTATAAACCAAAGTTGTTCCTGTATCCAATCAACAGCTCGTACAAGTCAAGTATCGACCAATAAAAGTAACCTCTCATGTCCGAACCATTCCTAGCCAAGTCAAACAATATCTTGTCCGAACTTACCACAAACAAAATCAAATACCAACATCCCGAAATCAAAATCCACTCCAAAATTTTGTTAAGCATCTGCATCTCAAATCCACAAAGGTTGTTAGGTTATTAGAAATTTTGTTCAGCACTTCGAATCAAAATACTACTCCAAAATCTTGCAAACAAACAATAAGAAAACGAAGCACATAGAACTTTGATGTGTTGATGCCGAGAACGAGCCGACACGAGCTGAGCCGAGCGTGTAAAATAGCTGAACGTGAAGAGTCAGAATGGGGTCGAGCCGCGAGTGGAGCCGATATGCGAGTGAGTCCAATCTGCGAGTGGGGCTGAGCCGCGAGTGGAGCCGATATGCGAGTGAGTCCAATCTGCGAGTGGGGCTGAGCCGCGAGTGAGAATGAGCCGAGAGTGAGTCCGATTCGCGAGTGAGGTTAAGCCGCGAGTGGGGCTAAGCCGCGAGTGAGTGTGAGCCGAGAGTGAGTGTGAGCCACAAGTGAGTGTGAGCCGAGAGTGAGTGTGAGCCGCGAGTGAGTGTGAGCCGCAAGTGAGTGTGAGCCGCGAGTGAGCGTGAGTCGGGAGTGAGTTTGAGCCGAAAGTGAGTCCGAGACGCGAGTGAGGCAGAGCCGCGAGTGGGGCTAAGCCGCGAGTGACCCGGAGCCGCGAGTGAGTATGAGCCGAGAGTGGGCCCGAGCCGCGAGTGGGGTAAGCCGCGAGTGAGTCCAAGCCGCGATTGAGGTTGATCCGCAAGTGTGTCTGAGCCGCGAGTGAGTCTGAGCTGCGAGTGAGGCTGAGCCGAGAGTGAGTCCGAGCCGCGAGTGTGGTTGAGTAGCGAGTGAGGCTGAGCCGCGAGTGACTCCTAGCCGCGAGTGAGACCAAGCCGCGAGTGGAACCGAGCCGTGAAATGTCATCTGAATTCTCCTCTACAATCTCCCATGCAGCTAAACCCGCCTCAGAAAATCGTTTCCGATCAAGGATCGAGGAAGACAACTTTCTATCAGAGAAAAAAAAAAATCGATTAGAGCCACTCCAGTCGCAAAAATGTCCTCGTGTTTAATTTTAAAATGGTTTCAAGGTTACACACACGTCGTCTATAGATAAAAAAATTAGTGAGTTTTGGATGCATTTAGGCCTTATTTTGTACTGGGCTTTCACTTATGTATTCTCAGGCTAACTTTTAAAGTCATTGTTTTATTAGTGAAATAAAAAAAGGTTTAGGCCTTATATATTTGCAAATGCCCATCATCCTGTCCATTTTCTCTTTGTGCCAAGGGGATTCTTTATGTTTTCCCTTCTGCACAAAACCAATGCAACATCAACCGCTAATAAAATCTGAAACAAAAAAGACTATAAACTCACAAGAGAAGATCAGACAGTAAACACGACACCACATTTAACTTTATCAAGTAATTATTAAGTTTTGATATTAATAGAATCATATAAATATAGAATTTATTATCTTGAAAAATGATGTTATATTTTAAACCATTTAACTCAATACAATTTAAATTTATTAATTTATAGAGTTTGACTCTATCCTGTATTTAAGATATTTGTTAAAGAAAAATCTTCCATAAGTTGTAAAAAATACTGATTTGCTGTAACTATTTAAAAAAAAATTCAAAAAATATTGGGCTTATTCTAAATTATATTATAAATAATCGTGAAGTCAAAAAGTCTGAAATGGCTGTTCTGCAGTTCTGGTATTCTCATTTTATTACAAAGCTAATTAATATATTATTCATGAAATTTTATCATAGAAGACAAAGATCCGTTTTCTTACAACGGTCTTTTGACCGGTACTTTTGTCGTCCTAAGATCCTCTTTGGAATCCAAAGACAATCATCATTTTACACTGGCAACCGTTAAAAGAAATGATCATGATAATTCAAGTTAATAAATCAAAAAGCTGAAAATTTAATTAGAAAATAAACTAAAAAGCTTCATACCAACAAGTTGATAAAAGTAAAAAAAAACAAGAAAATTCCAGCTGAAAGAACCAGATTAAAGATCTTATCTTGAAATGCTTATAATCATCATAATGTAGTACAAGAACAAGCAATGAGATGAAGTAAAACATTTTCAAGAATTACAAATGTGAAAAATGAACTTTCAAAGCTTATCCGAAGCATTGAAAATCATGATAGGGTTCAAAAGAAGACATAAAACATTTCTTCTGACCCTCAGAAATGAATCCCCAAATTAATGTAATTGTTGAAATGATGCTTTCTGCATCAATCCATGAATCAAGAAAAGGCCACCAATGCCTTCTATTTGATTCTTTAACCTAAAATGCAATGTGAATCTTGAAAAATAAATTAAAACAAAAAAATGTGATGATGGTTTCTTTCTTTCTTCTTCTTCTTCTTCTTCACCTTCCTCCTCCTAGTTGTACTACTGATTTAGATTCTAGAATACTAAAAACGATATGAATAAAATGTTTCTTGAACATGGTGGAGAGATTGATGATGAGTTAGTAGTCCCTTTCTCTGCTACTGTGGTACTGAATCAATCCTCTATCTTGATGGATGATGATGATGATGTGATTGCTTCTTGACCATCTTTGTTGCTAGCTTCAGCTTCTGTTGTAGTAATAACTACTGTTTTGGTTGCAGTTGTTGCAGCTAAAAATACAAAACAAAACAAACAATCAACAAACCAAGTTATGATTTGAAAACAATGAAGATTTTGAGTAGTGAAATCAAACCTGAGGTGGAAACTGAAGAGGATGAAGATGGAGCTGAAGATGCTAATGATAGAGCCAAAGAGGTTGGGAGGGACAGGATTGGTGGTGGAGGAGGCTGAGAGTTGAACTGCTGATGAGGCAGGTAAGGGTATTGCAGCAGAGGAGGAGCAGGAGGAGTAGTGTATTGAACGCTGAAACCTTGATGATGAGCTTGAGCTTGAGCTTGATTGCTGCTTTGTGCTGGATTGTATTGAGGATAGTAAGGATAGTAACCAGGGAACATTCCTGTTGATCCTGATGATGGAGGTCCCATATATGGTGAAAAATGCTGTCCTCCTCCATAGAGATGATGATTGTAGTAATTCTACAACAGACCAACACTCAGTGAAAAAATGGAATCAACCAACATAGTGAAAGATCAGTGAAATTTTAACTAACCATTGGGTACATTCCCTCTTGAGAATAACCAGAGAATCTGCAGTAGACAAAAAAAAAACATTTTGTCACAAGAAAACAAAAAAGAAAGGTACATAAACAATATCATTGATGTTGATGTGATGATAATACTTACCCATAAGCAGAGTAAGGGATTGGGAATTGACCAGTGTGCTGTTGATGATGAACAAAAGCAGAGGAAGAAGAAGAGCCTCGGAACTGAGGAGAAGGAGCAACAAATCCTGCTCCTCCTGGTGACCTAAATCTACCTGTTCCTGCCATCAAACATTCATCAAAAAAGACTTCTTCACGTGCTAATCAAGTAACCAAAAAAAAAAACAGATCCAAAATAGCATTCTAGAGAGAGAGAGAGACCATGTCTAGGAGAAGTAGGAGGACGAGGTTTCTGAGCACCAAGAAAAGCAAGGTTGCAGTTAGCTCTTCTTCCATCAATCACAGGATTCATATTCTGGCAAGCTCTCATCGCTGCTTCTGCATCCTTAAACGTCACCTGATCAAACACAAAAAAAAAACAAAAGCAAACTCTTTTGTCATATAAACTTTATCTAAAAGAAACAGGACAGAGGAAGAGGAAGAAGAACAGACAAAGCCATAGCCTTTGGATCTTCCAGTGTTCTTATCAGAAATGACGACAGCTTCAACGATCTCACCAAACTGTTCAAAGTAACGTCTCATTGTATCTTTCTGCGTCTCCCAAGCCAATCCTCCCACGAAGATTTTCGTCAGCTTCGTATCACCACCTTCTCCCATCTGAAACTGTCTCTGCTGCTGTGCCATTTTTTTGATTAAATTATTTTCCCCCTCTTTAAACCAAAACCCACATCAAAGTTTCAACCTTTCTTCTCCCAAGTATCTGATTACAAAATAAAAACTGTAACTTTTATTAATAAAACGAAGCAAACAGAAAAAAAAACTAAAAACTCTTTGGATGCAAAGAGTGAAACAACAGAAGAAGTGCAAACACCTCTGTCTGTGTTGATTAGAGAGAAAAAGAAAAAGAGAGAGAAGCCAATGGAGATGGAGAAGACAAGAAAGCTGCTAGTGGGATCCCACGACAATGGCTAGAGATAGAGAGAGAGAGAGATGGTAATTGAAAATAATGAGGACTCAACTTCACCTTTTTCGCTGTGTATATATATTAGGGGGTCCTCTGTAGGAACATTTGCTTCGCTGTCTTCAACCTCCTCTCTCTTGAAATCTGTAAATTACCATTATAGAATGAAATACTAATAGTTAAACCATTCTTTGACCGTTCGTCTCCGATAATATGTAAATAAATACCCTCTTAAAAGTTTTTGAAATGTTTTTCTTCTTGGTCTAATCGATTCGTATTTTATCGTTTTATTACACATAAAAAGGTTTGTTTGCTTTATCTTGTTTTAATTTAGTGAATACCTGACTTTTTTATGCAGTAGTCTATCTAATAAAAACAAAATTATAAAATAGTGTACAGTTTTGGGATTTTGATAGTTAAACAAAAAACTATAGGAGTATTTTATTATAAAACATTCTAAGATAATTATAGTAAAAAAGAAAAGATAATTATAGATGTAGGACACAACCTGTTTCAAACACACAGAACCAAAGCCAGGTTGTCTTCCTCAAAACATTCCATAATTGCCCTTCTCAGATATTCCTTCTAATTTTATTTCAAATTAGCTTATGCTATATTTTTAATATATAGAGTATTCTTACGACTACTACTTTCTTGTTTATTCGATGTCAGCCGTCAAATGAAGTACTATTAAGAACTAACGGTAATTGTGGAAATACATGCATTTCCATATTAGTATAGTAGTATACATTATTTAGTTGAACATATGTACCAACGGGCTGTATAATATTTATATAGTTCATATTCAAATCTTTCACCGAGAAACAATATCATTTAGAACATGGAAGGAAAAAGATATAATATAATTAATAAATGAAGAAATGTAAAAAAAAAATGATTATCGTGAATATGAGCCATAGTCGCACACTCACATGCATTTTGTCAGATCAATGTGTAAAGTCAACTTAACATTTGAGAATTTGCCAGCCTCAAAATTTTTATAACTTTCCTAAAAATAAACATCCGTCAGTCATTAGCTTTATTTACTACCAATTCTCACATTTTGCATTTATAATAACTAGTTTAATTACTGAATTACTGCGTTGCTTTTGAAATTTTGATTTTTGTTTCTGCGTTGCTTTTGAAATATTGATATTTACTCTAAAAAGGAGCGTATACTTTCATATAAGAAATTGTTTATTATAAGTACTATGCTAATTTTTGATGATGGATAATGTGGCACTGATAAATCCACATGAAGGCTGCAAGATACAGGCAGGCATGCACATGTTTGTGGTCAGCCACTTTCCAATATTATTGAAAAATATATTTAGATTGTTTTTTTTTTACTTCTCTACTTGCACAAGAAACGTTAGATGGATCGCACTTTTTCATCCAACGGTATAAATATATTACTTACTCACGCGTACTGTGGTCCCGCATGCATGCGATTGTTAATCTCAGTGATGTTAATTTTTTATAAAGGAAAAAGAGTAATTGACGCGTGACGTGTCCAGCGATTTTGTTTCCTTAAAGTCTGAAAAACCGTTAGAAACGCTGTTGATTGGTTTCTTGTGTCGTGGCGTTTGAACGTGACAGCGTGTGATACGGACTCCGTTGTTGTTTTGACCGTCAACGTCTCGTGTCACGTGGTGGAATATTCCTTCGCAGATCGGACCTTTGATAGAAATGGGAGATTCGTTTATTAAAAACGTAAGAGGCTTTATATGGGCTTCAATCCATCTGTTACTACATAGTCTCAAGCCCATTTAACTATATTTCCGCTGATTTAAGATATTTTATGCATGTAGCACACTAGGCCTGTTAGTTAAAGACTCGTTTATGACTTCCAATAATACATTTTATTAGGGTTTCAGTTTCACTTTTTCAAAAATAGTTCTCTTTACCACACATTTTTTGACACAGCCAACATTACTGGGTTGAGATTTAGACAAAATTCACATGAAATGCATCTAGAATATAAAAGTCGTTCTTTTTAAAAAAATATTAATTTACTAGAGTTGGTTCAGTAATTAAGATTGAGTATAGCTTTACATAAAATTCTAGCTAAAATCATTTAGGTTCAGTGGTTTGATTAGAATTTGGTTCCTACTTTCAGTTGTGTTTAATATGTTGATAGACTAAAACAAAGAGCAATTTAAGTGTAGAGTTAGATTAATGTGTGGTAAATAAAATGTTTGCTTGCAACACAATTTTATGATCAAAAGGTATACAAAGTAATACTTTGTTGGATTCAAAAAGGTTTTATGACTGATCGTAGAAAAGCACCAAATTTGTGTGTGTGTGTGTGTGTGAAACTAAACACACCAGAAATAAAGATCTCAGTCAATGCAATGAAAGATAGCTCCTTATTTTGATCCTAATATATTTAGACTCTTAGTGTGCCCATGCATGACTATAGGTGAACGAATAGACTTCCATGAAATGTACATTTTGATCATTATGGTTCACACCTTGACCAGAATTAGCAAATCGCAATTCTCTAGGTTAGGACACCTAGTTATACAAAAATTACTATATATTGCCAGCATATAGGGACACAATCATCGCGAAGAGACAAATATTCTATAACCATCCAATTGGTGGTGATATAAAGACACGAATGCACCATACGCTGAAAACATTATACTGTACTTTAGCTTTTAAATATTAATTTACAATATCAATATTTAAATACGTGTTTTGTAATAAGAAAAAAAAACAAATGAAGCATTTGACCATGCATGGTTTAAAATTTTTTTTTTTTTAAAAAGAACTCCCTCTATTTCAGTTTATTTGTCACTGTGTAGAAATTTTTCCGTTTCAAAATAAATGTTGTTTGATGATTTCAAGATAAAATTTATTAATGAACATGAACATAAAACTAATGAATATAGCAAAAAAACATTGTAAACCGATTATGGGAAGATGGGTGCAGAGATCCTCTTACTTCATCTCTTTCCTATTTTCACTTTTTAATGATATAATTGAAGACAGAAACTCTTTCTTAACCCACCGTTAATATTACTCTAAAGACACGGATCTTCCGGTAAACAAAAATAAAATAAAAATAAGACATGTGCCTTCTTCTAAGAGCTGTGCATCAATGTTACAAACTGAAATTTTGGTTTATAGTATCTAATTTTTTAAAAATAATAAAAATCATATTTTCTAGTTTCATCTACTTAAACGCAATTAATAAAAATAGAAATGAAATGTTTGAAAATTGAAAGATTTATGGTAATTATAGAATAAAAACAAGAGTATATTATAAATTATGGTGTAGCAACCAAAATGTTATAAAATCATTTTTAGTTGCTAAAAATAATATAGTAAAAAAATGGTTGAGTCATATAAAAATTGTTTGATTTTGGTATTTTATATTTGTAAGTAGATTGTATAAAATATTAAATTTTTTAATCAATTTATTTATCTAAAGGAATTGGTTAAAAGTTTAAATTTTAAAGTTTATTAATTTTTTTTTTGAAAAAGTTCAAACTAATTTTCTAGTAGTTTAACTTTTATTTGGTTTACTATATAATTACAAACTAATAATATGATATTTTATAACTAAGTTGAGACATTTATTTTAATCATTTAGGTCAGTTATAAATGCTCACACGCCACTGCTTCCTCTCATGCATGCAATTAAAATACTACGAGGGCATCAAGAGATACCAATACAAATATTAGACGACAAAGATTTTATTAAAAATCTAACAATGATTCGGAATCAGGTGTCGCACCAGCATCATCAAACCAGCAAACTTTGAAGGGTAGTGAGGCTCCCTTATTTTAAGTTTTTTTCCTAGGGATATATTAAATAAAAACGAAATCGTTAATATTGCAAGTGCTATATAAGATTACCAGGACAGTTTTTGACCTAATTTGCTTTTTAATTATAACACCGTTAGTTTTGGGTTAAAATAACACCGCTAGTTGGGTGTTATTATCTTTAAGTTTTTTCCAAAAAAATGGATAAAATTAAGCATATTAAAAATAGTGAAAATCTCTAGTGATATTTCAACATAATATAAAGGATTATTAGCTTTGAAGCTTCTACACACGAGGTTAAAAAATATAAATAGTAATATAAATTGTGCTAAAACTAAATGACGTCCCATGATAGGGTTCCTTTTCCGTTTGGTGCCAGAATATAAATAAGCTAAAAATCCTATTATCGAGTTACAAATTTCAGGTTATTAGTTATATATTACTCGATATCGTGAATTTTTGTTTACCACAATAGTGAATAACAAAGTATCATTATTTTAGGCAAGGTCTTAGCTACGTACGTATTGCTATTAATACAAAATGACAGATCACCCGTCCATTTCACACATTATTTCCCCACGATTTTCTATATGTACTGTTCCCTTTAATTATTCACATTTGTTTTGTGTTCTTTCGGATTTACCCAACAAATTATACATTTTGACGGTCATCCCGACTCTAGTAATGCGCCAATAATCAACAGCAAACACACAAAATCAACAAAGTAACGTCATTTATTTTGATAATCATTGTTTAATGGCTGTGGGTTTTTATATATTTTGTATCTATATTTATGTTTCAAAGACATCTTCTGATCATGCATGTCTGTATGGCCTTTGATGTAGGCACGTAGCGAGTTTAAATACATATAAATTTGTATCCTGTCATATTGTTGAACATATATAAATAGTGTATCGTGTAACGGTCTAAGTCTAGATTTTTTCTTTTGGTTTATCTCGTTTTTTTTTCTGGGTTTATCTCGTTCCATGTTTGAAGGGACAATAAGGACTGATCAGATTAGTGAATTTAATTAACGCATTTTTTTTAAAAAAATGAAAAGATGCTTTTTTTTCTTTCTGATCAGCAAGTCTAGTTGCTTAAAGACTCCGATATAATTGGTTCTCATAACAGGAATTCAGCTCTTTTGTGGAAACAATTGCTTCTTCAGTTTCAACTTTCAAGCAAATGAAAGGGAACATCTCAATATATATATAGTCAGGATCGTCTCTTGAAACATTCCAGAATAATCAAAGTTGTTCTTGAATAGACGGTATACGTATACATATATATATATATATATATGTTTAGACGTCAAGGTTTAACAAGTTTTTGTTCTGATCATTGTAAATAAACCCTCAGTCTGTTTGTTTAAAAATGGGCATGTTGGTTTAAAAAAAAAATGGGCTTGTAATAAAAAAAATTCTCAAAGTGAAATTTCTTATTTTTAAAATTTTGAAAATGTTACCATTCTGTTAAATCAAAGTTAATCTTTAAGTTGGGTTGGATCCTTTCACACAATAAATATTAAATAAAACCAGACTATTATAACTGATATGAAACACGTGGAATTATATGAAGGTCCAAATTTTATAGAAACTAAATAGATTTGGCCTCTCCCCTGTCGCCATTAGAGAAAATGGAGAGGGAGTCATGACATCTTACCATTAAGGCCTTAACAAATTTTGACGAAAATTCACCAAACTCAGATTGCTTCCCATGCAAACTTTCTTCATCGTCTATGAAGTTTTAATTTTTTTTTCCATTTTCTTTTGTTATCATTTGCACCAATATCACTGTGTGTATAATGTATAGTAATACCGAAATCCCATACTGAATTTGTCTCTTATATTTATTTACATTTGCTCATCCAACCCATTATAAGAAAAAAGTACTTATAAAAACACTTATTCATTCATGAAATCAAGACAATGATTCAACTTAATTTGTCACATTTTCAAGCCCTTTTTCAAAAAAAAAAAAACTTTGTCACATTTTCCTGTATTTCTTGTTTTATGTAAAATCATATAGATATGCGCGGTGATACCGCGTTGGAGGGTTGGACATTTACTATAGTTTGTAATATGTCCATAGTAAACATAGACATTTCACTCAATATAACTTTGCAAAACTAGCAGAAATGATTAATTATTCGAAATTAATAGCAAACATTGTATAGTCGAGATGACACGGCTTGTAAAATACTCCATCTGTTTCAAAATATTTCATGTTTTAATATTTTCACACTTATTAAGAAAATTTATTAAGTTTAAGTTATTAATACATTATTTTTTGTAATTAGTTATTCTCTATAATTTTTAACCAATATAATTTTAGAAAATACAATTATATTTTTTGAAATTTAAAATTTACCATTAATAAATGCATTAAAAATTAAAAATGTATATTTTTTTAAAATCAATTTTTTTTCTAGAACATAGATCTATTTGAAACAGAGTAACAATTGATCTTCGTTCCATAATTAACCAGGAATCAATAAAACTGTGTGTTTCATCATCTATAAATAATTTCACATAGTAGACTAGCTACCAGATACTAAGAATATCATTTTAAAAAGAATAATTATAGTTTGGAGTCTAATGAAAAAATAATTGTGTGAGATCTAGTAAATATTTGAATATAGCGGGGCGTTGTCTTTGAGAACGTACATGTACATATCACTGTATATAATATACATGTGATAAATTTTACGACATCAACACCTTTTCTGAACATAGCTTTTTGCGACGACATCAACTTGTAAGCCAAATAATTGACAACTGCATCAAATAAACTACAATAATTAACGTGCGTATGGAAAAAAAATACCAACTCTATATACGTAATGCTCCCAAACCTACCTACGTAAAGATACGCATATCGACGGTTATATAAAGTGAGGTTTCAATATAATTATTTATATATAAACTAAAGTTGGTGAAGTCACATATCGACAGTTTTAAATTTTCACGCAGACTAATTCAGTAATTTGTAACATATCGACGGTTTTATACTTTTCACCCTAACTAATTCAGTAATTTGTATATACTTAATTATTATACATTTGTGATGCGGCCACTATCATGTATATCTTCATTTATTTTATAAAATTTGGTTATCAAAATTATAATTAGATTTATGCATTTTACCCAGATCTAAAAATCTAAATTGGAGACAATGACAAGTACATATTCATGTTAACTGAAATTTTACAAGTATTTAGATCAATTCAAAATTCATCTATTCAAAAAATCTAGAACCAAAAAAAAAAATGATTCGAAGAGATTTGGTCCCAAAATAACCAATCCTGAATAGTTCGACCCGATAAATATCAATCTATACCTAACCTAAAAGCAAATATTTAAGACTATGACTTCATATATATGATTTACTATATTTTAATTTATGATTTAGTTGTAATAATTTTTTGTTTACTTTTTTTATTATTTTGTAACATTCTAAAGTAATATAAAATTTGAAATGTAAAATTTAGGAGTTAGAAATGTCTAATATCACTTATTAATAGTTCAGCTGTAATACATAATTTAACATACATAATTTTAAAAGGCATGTTTTAAAAAAAAAAAAAATTCATCTAGAATGACCACTATCAAAATGGTTATTTTAACATTTTTCTTATAATTGCACTCGTGAATTTCTTAATTATGACTTACAAAATATAATCTTTGGATTATTTAACGTGAATGTTAATATAAAATTCAAATATACAAATGATAATTATATGAGTTATTTGTTTTAGATTTCAAATATTTGTAAATGTATATCAGACGGATTCTAATCTACCTTAAAATATAAATTTTTAAATTTCAAAATAAATAATATGATTCTGATAAGCGTAATTTCTATAGATTAAAAGTTGATACATATAAAAAATACTGAAAAAATATTTTATAGTTTTTATATTAACTAGTTAGAAACTTTATAGCTCACCCGATGAACACATGATACACACACAACAATCGGGTGCAGTGTCATTATTCAGGCTATAAATAATGATTAGAAGCATGGAATGCCGGATCTGAGAGAAATGATTCTTGGTTCAGAAATTGCAAAAAGGCTCTTAACTAATCTAAACAAAGTCTCATTCCAACCCACTGTTAATAATCGCATTAACACTACTAAACTCCATTAACATTATTTTTTAGTTTTTTTTTTTGTCAAAACATTATTTTTTAGTTAAGTTTCTACTTTCCACCCGATAAGTAAGTACACGTACTAAATTTTACAGTGTTTGTCATAACTGATAACTACGTGACTTTTGACGTCATCATTACTTTGCAATAACCTCACCTTTACGTAGTCACCTTTGGATTAAAATAAAATAAAGTTCTGAAGTGAAGCGTTTATTATAAGTGAACAAAGGCACATCTTCCGGACAGGATGGAAACTTATTAAGATGCCATATTCCGACTTTTCTTTTGTAAGAAACATGTTTGCAAATAATTCGAGAGTTCATTTATAAACATCAAAAAACTTACGAATATAAAAAAAAAAAAGACGAATGCATTACTATTACGATGACTGTGGGTTGTTAATTTGTTTAAAGGGGCTTTTCTATAGAGATTTTTAAGGTCGAGGGTCATCGTTAGGATGTGAGCTTGCTTCCTACAATCTTGTTGCTTATGGACCCTACTGTGTTTTTTTCTTCTAATAATCACATCACTTCTTTTCCTTTTCCATTTTATTATTTATTTATTATATTCCCGATATTTACTCCTCGCCATAGATGTAAATATACAGAAACAAGGTCTTGAACACATATAGATGGTGATAACAAATTTCAAAATGCATACATATCATGATTTTTAGTTACTTATGTCGTTTGATTTTCTAATTTCTTTTTTTAGTTATAGAAAAGAAAAATGTAAATAGACGAAGATAGTATTCAAATAATTGCACATTTGACAAGGTATTAAAAAGACAAGTGGAATCATAATCATCTTAGAGAGAAAAAACTAAATAATAATGACAAAAAATAGCAAAACTATAACAAATATTGAAACAATAATTGAGAAAAACAAAAGAACAATAACCATTAATTATTGAAAAGTGATAAGTGAAGAGAAAATATCATTGGAAGGTTTATATTCATGTTAGACTAATAAACAAATAAATAAATAAAAGACGGAAAACTATAATAAGAGTCGAATTTATTAATGGAGCAAAACACATGCGTTTTCCTCATGCATCTTGTTCTTAGACAACGATATTATATATTGGCTCATTCTCCGCTAGCTCTCTCATTCCCCAACTTTTGTATTGGTAGTAAAACAAACAGTATATACTCTGTTTTCTTGATTTTGTTGATTTAGTTAGCCTTGAAATCTGTTGATCACGATGTCCGAATCTATGAGCATATCAGTAAACGGACAATCTCAAGTGCCTCCTGGGTTTAGGTTTCACCCGACCGAGGAAGAGCTGCTGCAGTATTATCTCCGGAAGAAAGTCAATAGCATCAAGATCGATCTCGACGTTATTCGCGACGTTGATCTCAACAAGCTCGAGCCTTGGGATATTCAAGGTATTTTCCATAAATAAAATTAGTAATTTCGGTGTATGATAAATAAATTCCTTGTGTATTAATTTTCTCTTTTTCACAATCTACCAATTCAATTTCTGAAATTGATAAAAGTTTACTACTATATAAATGGTAGTCTTGTTTATATTACTTTCGATACATGACGTTCTCATCATGTATCCTTTTATGAGACTATGACTAGAGTACAAAGACTCTATACTTAGTCGTTCTTTTTGCTTGTTTATATGAGGAGCTAGTTCCTACAAAGTTCCAAAATAGTCTTTGGTTAATTACATAATTTATGTTAAAAATATTCTGATAGTTGAAAAAAAAAACATTCTGATTTTTTTTTGTCGTTATGCAGAGTTGTGTAAAATAGGAACAACGCCTCAAAACGACTGGTATTTCTTTAGTCACAAGGACAAAAAATATCCAACGGGAACGAGAACTAACCGAGCTACGGCGGCCGGATTTTGGAAAGCAACGGGCCGCGACAAGATCATATATAGTAATGGTCGTAGGATTGGGATGAGAAAGACTCTTGTTTTTTACAAAGGTCGAGCTCCTCACGGCCAAAAATCTGACTGGATCATGCATGAATATAGACTCGACGACAACATTATTTCCCCTGAGGATGCCGTTCGTGAGGTACGTATCAATTTCATTACATTTGTACGGGTTATATATATTGGTGACACATTCAAGTTTCACTTTACACCACAGTCTCGATTTTTTTTTATTTTGATTATGAACCATTGACCCTTATGGATACTTTTTTTTGGAACCTTATAAAAGTTACTACTAATATCAAGTAATAATATTGTCAAAAAAGTATCGCCGTGACTCTCATTTGAATATTAGCATCAAAACTACATATTATAGAAGTATATTCCTGTTTCTGATCAGTTTATAAAGATAAAAATAGGGAAATACTTCATCGACCAAAGTGAAAATTCTATTTTAATACATTTCTCTTTTTATGTATAAACTAAAAAAGCACACAAGATAACTATGGTGAAGCATGACTTACTCGAATTGCAAGTGAAGTGACGAGGACCTAAAGGGATTTAGCAAGCTCTCTTGAAAACAAGATATATAATATGTATTTCTCTGATATATGTTATTTTTATTTTGAATATTTAAGGTGGTGACTATTATTGGGGAGGCATCACAAGACGAAGGATGGGTGGTGTGTCGCATTTTCAAGAAAAAAAACCTTCACAAAACCTTAAACAGTCCCACCGGAGGAGCTTCCCTTAGTGGCGGCGGAGATATGGCAAGGGCGACGTCCTCGTCGCAGATGCTCAACGATGATACTCTCGAGCAGTTCCTAGAACTTATGGGGCGATCTTGTAAAGAAGAGCTAAATCTAGACTCTTTCATGAAACTCCCAGACCTTGAGAGCCCTAACAGTCTAAACAACAACTGCCACGTCTACTCTCCTAACACAAATCATCATGATGTTCACGTCAGCAACGTGGTCGACACTAGCTTCGTTACCAGCTGGGCCGCTTTGGACCGGCTAGTGGCCTCGCAGCTAAACGGACCCATATCATACTCAATCGCAACCGTCAATGAGAGCCACGTGGAACAAGATCACCTCGCCTTGCCTGGCATAAACCGGTCCGGTTCGTACCACGCGGGCTTAATTCAAGAATATACACCGGAGATGGAGCTATGGAACACGACCACGTCCTCTCTATTATCATCATCTGACTCATTTCGCCACGTGTCTAACGGTAGTGGATAGTGGAAATGGAGGGAAAGAGAGGCACACAGAGAAAGTCAATTTACATGTGTAAAAAGATATAATCATACCATATAGTTGTTGAAACATTAAAAAGGAAAGTCAGATTTGTGATAATTACAGTGGTTATGTGAAATATTGTAAAACAGATTATATAAAAATATAGAATTTTTTAAAGAGGATACAAAGATGTCACAAAAATTATTTTTCGTTTAAGATGGGGTGCACATTATTAGCCATTAATCAAAATGTCTTTTTGGATATGAATTCCATGGTTTTGCTTCTAGAAGAAACAAATAAACATGTTCCTGGAAAATAGTATATTAAACTCATGATCGTGAAAAGAGTGTCGTTTCTAGGAACTAGTTGTTGAGAAGTAACCAAAGTCAAGTACTATACAGGTTGTCGGGACATCGAACTATACTTGGTTGGCATTCGTGTATATATTCCATTCCCAAATTCCAACTCTCACTTTTGCATTTTAAATTTGTCTTCGTAGATACAAAGCATACATTTCTTAATTAAGCAGCCAAAGAAAAGAATGTATATGATTTTTTTTTAAAGGAACACAAACCAATCAAATTTACTCCACAATTAACCAACTCCTAATTGCCCCCATATATTTGAAGTTGCTAATATTTAATAACCCTCCTTTTCAAATAGAAGTTTTTTAATATTAATTTTATTAAAAATCAATCCGATAAGATCAGAAAATGAATCGAAACATTACAAGCTCCGGTTTTTATTGCCGGAAAAACAACAAAAAACTAGGTTACATGAAATTGAAATCAACCCAATGTATATGATCTTATCTTAAGTACAATCAGTTGTTTCTCTGTTCGATGTCATAGATAACGATTGAGTATCATTAATGACACTAGACATAGTAGTATGCTTAGTACAGTCCTTTTACAAGTTTCTAAATCAGTCATAATCTGGTGATCGATCTCAAACATAAAATGGAGTGATATGGTACTGAAGATAAGTGTAGCCTTATTTCTCCGTCTTGACTATAAATCTATAATAATTTATCGCTTAAACACATGTGCATCTAAATTATTTAGCTAAGAAAATTCAACACTTAGGAAAACACGAATATGTACATGTAAACAAGTCTTTTCGTTCTTGTGACAAAAAAAAAAAAGAAGCAATTTTGGTTCTCTCAAATAACAGTGCATCTCCGTCCTCTCAAATATCAAGTTTTGTAAAATGTTTCATAAATATAAAATAATTAAAGATTAAGCTTATCCATTTGCAAAAGTAATAATCAATACATGTTTTTAAATAATTAATATATGCTTCTACACTTGTGCCAAACAAAAAAAGAATAATTGTTCTACACATAACCCCCCCCCCCCCAAAAAAAACTGATTACGCAATTATTATGGAGATTGTCCTTTTTTTTTGCTTAAATTATTATGGGGATTGTCCTCAGCTAACTAATGAATATCTTTTTTTCTCATATAAATTTTAATGACAATATTCAGGGATGGGCCGATACATCATCTATAAGTTTTTCTTCCCACAAATTTGACAATTCTCCTTAACGCCACAATTATTATATACATATAAACACATCCTTGATTAAAATTCGAAGGGTTACTAAGTATAGTAAAAGCCATGCATTAGCTATAAAGAGCTGCAAAATATTCCACGGCATTACTGTTGTGTTGGTGGAACGTTCATATTGTTTTCCTAATTTGTATACATAGAATTTGATTTCATGGAATCGAAAATTGCCATGTACGTGCCATTTATAAGTAAATATTTTTTGAAAAAAATAGACGATAAAATTAGATGAAAATGGGTCTTAAATTACGCACAGGAGTCTCTTAAATATAAAACTTATTTATTTTAATATATTAACAAAAATATATAAATTATAAATAAAGCAAAATAAACGTCTTAGAAATATTATTTGCTGATTAAACTTCAGTGTTTCATTCATCACGAAAAAACAAACTCAAAGAATGAAGAAATATAATACAGTTTTGTTCGAACAAATGAGAAAAATAAAGTTAAAAATTATTATTGATGTCTGTTTATAAATTGACAAATAAAAATAATTCGAAGAAAAGTAATACGTTTCATCTTAAATACATGCAAGAATATGCAAGACACACAAAAACACAAACGATGATTATTACACACCATCCTTTCCGATCGCGACTATAGAAGCTAAAAATCGCTTCAAAGGGGAGACAGTCCGAACAGAACGGATTTGCCGACAAAATTAACCCTAAAGTTTATCACTTTCTAATCTCTTCTCTTTATTGATGATTTCTTTTATTTTCCTCTCTTTTATTACATTAACGAATTTCAAGGATAGGTATATCAAGGCACTAGACCAGTTTTTTTTTTTTTTTAATACAGGCATATTAATTAAAATCTTTTAAGTTGATGCTTTCTTTAATTCACTGTCATTTAGTGTTTATCGCTTACCCATTTGCTCTTTTTACCTTTATCAATTTCTCACCATTAATCATACATAAATCTTATCCTTAACTAACCCACAAGGATTATGGAGGAAAAAAATTAAAATCATTATTAGAAAGAGATAGACACTCATAAACCCTCTAATAACATTTGAATGAGTTGCTTCCGTAACCAAACAATGCATATTATCAACCAAATCTCAAACTAATTTATTATTTCGAAATATGTAGTTCAATGGTTTATGAATTTTTTTTTGCACCGAATGCCAATTTATCTCTGACATGTCGACAAACGTAAAGATGATTACGGGACTAACAATTTCCAACCTACATGGATGAATATATATCGATTAAAATCAAAACTGGTCATATATATATACTAAGTAAGATTCTTTTAATACTCTAGCAGATGATATATATTACCGGTAGGTGCGATGGGGTAGTGCAAGCTCGTGCCAACGGGGGCTAACATCTATGTCGAATTTTATTTATATCCGACGAATCATGACAGACTAATCTTCGTGGTTCTAGTGTGAAAAGAAATAAATCAATAAAAGGTGATTGGAATCTTTGGTTCAGTTTTTCTCTTTTTTGAATTTAATTTCACATCATTTTGATTTGATTTGTATTGGGTCAGAAAGCTAAAACGCTTTGAGCTTTAATATTTCCACTTTATGTAACTAGATTCGTATTTTAATCAATATGATCATGTGTATTCGAGATACAACATCACATTGTTTTCTAGGGTTTGATTTATTATAAGATAAACATCACACTGAGTTACTTGTGTAATACCAAAGCAGTATCTGTTTTAATTTAAAATTTTGTTTTATCATATACTTCTTAGCCAAAATAAAAATCTTGTTTTATCTGAGGGTGACTGCTTGTTTGACACTTACGGTTAGAGAGAGCACTCATCTGAAATTTTCATATCTAGTCCAATTTTAATATTCAGCCTATAATACTAACTATTTAGCTCACTAGTTAGTAATAAGTGTGAAGTAACTTGAAACTGCGTTAGTCAATAATTGTATGCATTGAAAACAATATGATATGATGATTCTTGTCTGATAGTTTCTTGACCGTCTAATCTTTAGTTACGCTGTCTATAAATATAGTTAATAGTCGTTTTAGTAATAATCACATAGTAGTGTAGATGTTGATTATATTCGAGATTGTTATATACAAATTTAAATCGTTTTCAATAAATGTTTACCTTATCCTATATTCTTGCAATACACAAACACAAATATATCTAGTGACTTGGGCAACCCCTTGATCATTTACCTTATTAAGAGAAAGCGTCATTTTCTTTATAATTGATTGATAAATTCATTTTTTAAGATTTTATAATAATGAAATAAAAAATTGGATTGAATTTACATCGTTGATAACCAGTAGGGGATGTAGATGAGCCAAGTTGGTGGCACTTGTCCCATGAAAATTTCAAATTGCATATAACATATATGAGTTTTAGCATTGATTTCTATGTTTATTTTTGATTTGTCCCCTGCTAAAAATCATATTTAACTTTGTTATCTATGTTTATATTTGATTTGCCCCCAACAAATTAAAATCCTACATCCGCCACTGTTGATAACTTTATAGGGCCGGACTGAACTGGACCAGCCAAAAAAATCCGGTTGATACATGGTCAATAAAACTGTAAACCGTCTTTCAGTTCACGAAACAACGAGCCCGGTCATATTAACAAAGAGATCTATTATTATTAAAAACCCAAATGGTTAAAACGGCTGAAGGCCCATGTATATTGTCGTTGGTCCTGTGACCCGACTATTATTTCTGCTATTGATCTTCATTATTTTCTGTTTTCCCCTTTATTTTCGTTTTCTTTTGTTTCTACATGTATTGTTGTATACTAGATGACTTCCAGCGATATATATTTAAATATTACTTAAAGTAGTTTTATATATATTTAAAATTTATAATAAAATCAAATTTGTCGATAAAAAATCTATAGGAAAATTTTGATTTTTATTAATGAAAGAACAATATTAAATTTTGTTTTATTCTATTAATCATTTTAAATATCTTATAATTATGAAAAGGAAAAATTAAAAAGAGAAAGAAAAAAATATCATATATGAATTATCTTTTTGAAACTCACTACCACATATGTGCTGTCGTGTATAATATATATATATATATATATATAATTAAGTTTGATTATAATTTGTTATTTGAATATATAATATAAATTTATTTTGAAACTTTACTCAATATTACTTATTTGAGTACACAATTAATCAAAAATATAAGATTAATTTCAAAAAATTTCGAAATATAAGCAATCCTTGAAACATTCTCAAGACACTGAAATGTCTATTTTCTTTTTATATTAAATATTATATATCACTTAAGGTTTTTATCAAAATATATCTATAAATTCAGATAATTTGAAAAAAACTTCAAGATACATATGTAGACGATTTCGTTTGTTGACAACTAGAAATTCATATTCTGATGAAGATAAAAATCATGCAAACTGCAATCACATAGTATACAATATTTATTTGAACAAAAAAAAATGTATACAATATTTATATATGATAGAATTTCTATTAACTAAAACATCGTATAAACTGATTGATTTATATAAAGTTACATATTCTATAACGAATATGATTTTCAAGATTGTCAAACAAAATATCTGGAATTTATCATAATCCTTAGTTTTTACTTATTTAATAAATGTTCAAATAATAGTATAAATTTAAATTAATGATTCATCAATTAAAATTATTAAACACATGATAAATAAATATTCAATATTTAAAATCAAGAAAATATGATAATTAAGCAAAATTACTTTTCAAATAATAGTAAATTAGTTTAAATATATGAATTTTATCAGCTTTAATTCGATATTATATATTTAATTTTTTCATAAATAATGATTAATATCCTATTAAATTAAACAATGTATATGGTATTAATTAATATTGTCTTTTTTTTGTGCACCAAAGGATCGTCATGACAATTCTATGATAAAACTCTTCAGAAAATACACAGAGATTTAAATCTATAATGAAATATTCCACACACATATATATATATATATATATATATATATCCATGATAAATAACTTTATCTTAACATTTTAGAACGATTTATAGTGAACAATTTCGCTTGCAACATATTAAAATCATCCAGTCTACATTTCTTTACTTTTTTACTCATTGATAAATCATCAAAATATACGTAAAAAACTTTATAATATGGAATCCAAATTTTTGAACTAAATACGAATCTAATTTTGATAGAGAAATCCCACACGTATCTATTCGATCCCTACAAATACTTTAAATTTTGCGCAGACGTGCGTATCTTGGCATTCATATATCCTATGAACAACATATATCATTATATAATTTATCCCCAAAAAAAACATATATCATTATATAAACTATATGAGCAAAATAAGGTACTACTCTTTGACTGTATTTGAGGTATATTATAGTAAACTCCAACCAGTGTTATACTATATATAGTTTATTGGCAAGGCACACCAACTTAAATTTTACTAATCACATATGGTGTAACAACCCCTTTGGTATCAATTGGTGTAACAACCCCTTTGATTTTCGAAAATATACAGATTGAAATATTACCTTTCACAAATATATATAATATCGCGCGTGACTAGAAAGATGCAATTACCAGATTATGTATTTTTCCACCCATAAATGATAAATGTATATACAAAATTTTGAACTAAGTTCATTTTTCAATTGATATTTGCTGATTTTTGTGTCTTTCGGCTATTTAGCTGGTTTTAGTAGTAACTGGAAGAGTGTACTCCATTTTTATGTCCGACTAAATAGATCGGAATCGGATGTTTTGTTCTCAAGTGTTTTGTTAAATAAACCCTAATTAGGTAAACTGGTTTGACGGTGAATTACAAATATTACGACCACTTAAAATTAGGCAGTCGTGAGTTCTTTGGAAAATCAACTGCTAATATCTTTAACAACACATTAAGCAAAAGAGTTTACAATTATACTCATACTATAATGTAATCCAACAATATGGATGTGTGGTGACAATTTTTTCCTAGCTACTTCATTAGGTTTGAAAACTTTTCTGACAACGTATTAAACGTTAATTCATTTTAAAACTCTCTTTGTAATAAAATACTTTGTCAAAACAATTTGATAATAATAATAAAATAAGCGCATAAAATTTACAAGTTGACAAATGTGATTAGTACGGATTCTTAGAAATGAAGCAAACATAGCGGTGGCACAAAACTTGAATTGTTACCAAGTGACAAGTGTTATGTGGTCATTGTTATATGTTGATCTGCTGCTCGACACATTTCTTTGTTTATTACAATGGAATTGTTGTTTGATCGAAGTCCATATAGCACAGTATAGTATTGTAGAGCTTCATTTTAGTGGATACAACATCCACAAAACCTGGCCCAATCTTGACAATATATAGGCTCAATGTATAAGTTTTGAACATTCTGTGTGAATGATATACATATTGTTATAATTTGGGGTATTACAAAATATAAATAAAATTCGGTTTATATGATATATACAAATAAAAATGGAGACTCCAAATGATGAATCGATGTAATAATAATGAGAGAAGATGATACAAACATGATCATTAATCTTATCTTACAAGCATCTGACATCTCAGTTCTTTTCTTATCAACCAGATATTATAAACTAAATCACACTACAAACGGGCCTTTTACGCCACACAACCGCTATATATGGCAAACATACATATCTACAAAGAAAGAAAACACCAAACACGTAATACATTTGAAAACTTACCTGATCAATGGCATTTACACCTTCTTATGGTTCCCAAAAGGCCGCTTTTGGACGCACTCTGCTCCTATTACAATGTATATCTATACTAGTGTTCACTACCATCTCAACACCACCTGATGATCCTGTCAAGTGTGCGTCTGGAAACTCGGACTGTACAGTCACAAACTCATATGGAGCCTTTCCTGATAGATCCACGTGTCGAGCCGCAGATGTGGCATATCCAACCACTGAAGCCGAGCTCATCTCTATCGTGGCTGCAGCCACTAAAGCCGGACGAAAAATGCGTGTAACCACACGATATTCCCATAGCATCACAAAGCTCGTGTGTACTGATGGAACCGACGGTTTGTTCATAAGCACAAAGTTTCTAAACAACACGGTGCGAGCCGATGCAGTGGCCATGACCCTGACGGTTGAGAGCGGCGTGACGCTTAGGCAGTTAATAGCTGAAGCAGCTAAGGTTGGATTGGCGTTGCCGTATGCACCATATTGGTGGGGACTGACCGTGGGTGGTATGATGGGAACCGGTGCTCACGGGAGCTCATTGTGGGGTAAAGGAAGTGCGGTCCATGATCATGTGACCGAGATCAGGATGGTTAGTCCTGGCTCAGCCAATGATGGGTTTGCAAAGGTTAGAGTTTTAAGCGAGACTACGACTCCTAACGAGTTTAAAGCCGCTAAGGTTTCTCTTGGCGTTCTTGGTGTTATCTCTCAGGTATGATTCATAAAAACTTTGCTTTCTGTTATTTTTGCATGCTATATTTTATGAGAATATCATAGGTAGCTCTAACACATTATTTATAATACAATTTTCCCATAAAGGTGACTTTTACATTGCAACCGATGTTCAAAAGATCGTTAAGGTATGTTATGAAAAACGATTCTGATTTTGGGGATCAAGCTGTGACATTTGGAAAGAAACATGAGTTTGCGGATTTCATATGGTTACCAAGCCAAGGCAAAGTGGTGTATCGAATGGACGACCGTGTACCTGTCAACACATCCGGCAATGGTTTGTTTGATCTTTTGCCGTTCCGCTCGCAGCTCTCTGCGGCATTAGCCATCATAAGATCATCAGGTTCATCTTTATTTCTAAATCATATATTTTCATGTTCGCATATGATGATAAACTATATAAGTTATTGAATAATTTTATAATTTTTCATAGTTTATCAAATTTTTCAAGACAAAATAAAGATAAAGAATTTAAGTTATGTACTATAAAAAAATTTTCAAGACAAAATAAAGATAAAGAATTTAAGTTATGTACTATAATTTGTTTTTTTGTCAAATTAAGAGGAGACGCAAGAGAGGTTCAGAGATGCGAATGGAAAGTGTGTAGGAGCCACACTTATTTCATCTACACTGTTTGCTAGTTCATATGGTTTGACAAACAATGGTAAATAATTATAATTTAATTAGTTTTTTAATACTGTATTCACTTATATTGATTTTACATCGAAAAATTAACTCACTCCTACGTATATTGTTGCATTAGGCATTATATTCACCGGTTATCCCGTCATTGGAAGCCAAAACCGTATGATGTCGTCAGGATCATGCTTAGACAGTCTTCAAGATGGGCTGATCACGGCGTGTCCTTGGGATTCACGTATAAAAAGCGAATTCTTTCACCAAACAACTTTCAGTGTTCCACTAACGCAAGTCAAAAGTTTCATCAACGACATCAAGTCTCTTGTTAAGATCGAACGTAAATCTCTATGCGGACTTGAGCTATATTACGGTATTCTAATGCGCTACGTCACATCTTCTCCAGCTTATCTTGGGAAAGAAAAAGAAGCTTTAGATTTTGACCTAACTTATTATCGAGCCAAAGACCCATTAACACCACGACTTTACGAAGATTTCATCGAAGAAATCGAGCAAATTGCCTTGTTCAAGTATAACGCATTGCCGCATTGGGGTAAGAACAGAAACTTAGCGTTTGATGGAGTGATTAAAAAGTATAAGAACGCCCCGGCATTCTTGAAAGTTAAGGAGCGTTATGATCCGACCGGTTTATTCTCTACCGAATGGACTGATCAGATCTTAGGGATCAAAGGAAATGCGACGATAGTAACAAATGGATGTGCATTGGAGGGTTTGTGTAAATGTTCGGAGGATGCTCACTGTGCTCCGACCAAAGGATATTTGTGTCGACCGGGAAAAGTTTACAAAGAAGCTAGAGTTTGTACACGTGTCAGTGAGATAAGTGTGATTCGATCAGTAAGTTATTAATATTCATTGCTTCTAAAATGTCAACTGGGTTTATATAAAACCCATACCATGATTTGGATTTTGTTATGAGCCTTGCGTGCTTATTATTCATCATAGCAAAATTAATGAAATCAACTCCCGTAATGTTAATGTCTTCTTCTTTCTGTTCTCCACCACAATGTTACTCGATTTGATAGAAGTGTTAATAAATGTAGCATATGCCTTTGTCAACGTATATACTTTTTATGATTAATTTGAACATACAAATATGTTCTTGAGCCCTGAGATACTAATTTGTTTGTCAAGAGAACAATGGTTTATTTTCCAAACGAGCTTCTTATTTTATGTTAATATTGTCACATATACTCATATTCCAACTGAAGCCAGCTTGGGTATGTGACTAAATTAGATGCGAGTTGATCACTACTTGGTGGCTTTGAGTTTTGCAGATTAAAAACATTTTTTTTTTTTGGTCAAAGTTTACAAACAAATTTATCCCATTCAGTTTTCTACATAATAGTTTAAAAGGCGTTTTATTTTATTCTTTTGGTGTAATAGCTAGGTGGAGTTTTTGTTCATTCAATGTATCCGATGAATAAAGCTATATTATTTTTTTTTAATGATAGTTTTTTTTTTAAGATAGTTTTTTTCTTGGGCAAAAGATATATATGAATGTTTTATTTGACATTTTTTATGTTTTAACCCTCTATCTACACAACCATTTGCATAATCAGAAAGTGATTTGTGTCTCTTCCAAAATAAAATAAAATAAAATTATTCGTGTCCACCTCATATTTAAGATATATGGAAAAATCAAACTAATGTGTCTTTTATAATAAATCCAACTAGTATATGACTGTGCGTATTATATAATTTGACACTGTCAAATAATACTAATTAAGAACCCGTACGCTAATTGATGTTTTTATAATACAACCAAACTAATGTATGTATTTTACTCACAGTTGAGTTCTTATATGCTACGAAAACCGCATGATATTTAGTAGTTGAAACTTTCGTGTAGATATATATCGTTGATTAATTTGCCCGTTAAGATTTTCAAGTCATCATTTTGAAATAATAAAAAGAACTTCATAAGCCGACGAGGCGAATATTTTGACTAAAAGCATTTAGAAAATAAGGATAAGGAGAAACAATAACCATGCCTGCGGCTGCGGGCTCGGCAAAGGGATTACGACACTGATAAATTATATAAATGAAATTAAGACAGTAAAATTTGGATGGATCGGATGGGATAGTCGTTAACACTATCTTAATTACAAGATAGCACGTACGATAGATGCATCTTAATTATGTTAACCTTTTCTACTTTGATTAACCAAAATAGTTGTATTTAAGACTTTATAAACCGGCATATACGCCTCACAACCTTTATAAATAGCAAACATGTTAGCAAAGAAGCCATTTGCAATAAAGTTGGTGAGAGTCAACAAAACTCAATCAAAGACTATGGTGTTTGATTATTCTCCTTCGAATGGTTCCCAAAACGGTGTGTTCTCGCACACCCTCCTCGGGTTGCTTTGTATATTTACACTTGTTCTTACGGCTGTCTCAACACCACCTGATGATCCTGTCAAGTGTGTGTCGGGAAATACAAATTGCACAGTCACAAACTCATATGGAGCATTCCCTGACCGTTCCACGTGTCGAGCTGCCAGCGTGGCGTACCCAACGACCGAAGATGAACTCGTCGCTATCGTGGCTGCCGCAACTAAAACCGGACGTAAAATGCGTGTCACAACTCGTTATTCGCATAGCATAACTAAGCTCGTGTGTACCGACGGGACCAATGGTTTGTTCATAAGCACAAAGTTTCTAAACCACACGGTCCGGTCAGATGCAAAGGCCATGACCCTGACGGTTGAGAGCGGCGTGACGCTTAGGCAGTTAATCGCTGAAGCAGCTAAGGTTGGATTGGCGTTGCCTTATGCACCATATTGGTGGGGACTGACCGTGGGTGGTATGATGGGAACCGGTGCTCACGGGAGCTCATTGTGGGGTAAAGGAAGTGCTGTCCATGACTATGTGACCGAGATCAGGATGGTTAGTCCTGGCACGGTCAATGATGGGTTTGCAAAGGTTAGAGTTTTAAGCGAGACTACGACTCCTAACGAGTTTAACGCAGCCAAGGTTTCTCTTGGCGTTCTTGGGGTTATCTCTCAGGTTCGATTGGTTATTTTTTTGTGTGTTTTTACTACAAGAAGACAATATCATAATTCTAAGTCCTTAATTACAAATATTTTTGGCTGTGGCATATACTTGTTTTTAAAAGGTGACTTTTAAATTGCAACCGATGTTCAAGAGATCTTTAACATATACAATGAGAAATGACTCGGATTTTGGAGAACAAGCGGTGACTTTTGGAAAGAAACACGAGTTTGCCGATTTCTTATGGTTACCAAGCCAAGGCAAAGTGGTGTATCGGAGGGATGACCGAGTTGCGGTCAACACGTCGGGCAACGGTTTGTTTGATTTCTTACCATTCCGTTCGCAACTCTCTGCGGCTATAGCCATCATAAGATCATCAGGTACGACTTTAAATACTATCTTTCTGTACCTTTTCTTGTGAAGTGTTTGCACTAAATTATTAAAAAAAGAGAAGTACAATCTTGTTCATCACGTGTTTTATCAGACAGAAGAAAACATGATGTAATCTAAAATCTTATTTTGTTCACATTTTTACTCTATAAATTGTTGAATTCCTTTTAAAATTTTTAAGTATGAAAAGTAAACCACTAACCAAAAGACAATAGACCTTTGAACCAAAATTTTGCATATATCAACGGTAGTTGGTCCAAATTTGAAGAGAGACATACGTAATCAGGTAATTCTTGAATTAGTATTGTATAAAATTATAACTCTTGATCCAAAACCGATATTAAAATATAATATATAGTATAAGTGAGGTATGGTTGGCAAGAGATTATCAAGTGACCCACAATTCCAATAATTTTCTCTTTATAATATAATTTCTCTCTATGGATACAAAAAGCTAAACGTAACTTTCATTTGTTTTCTTGTATACGATGCAAGAGGAGACGCAAGAGAAGTTCAGAGATGCGAATGGAAAATGTGTAGGAGCCACGCTACTTTCATCTACACTGTTTGGTACCTCATACGGTTTGACCAACAATGGTATTTTCCTTTTTACTTATATATACTGTTCAGTGATTTCGAAAACAATCTTTACTTACTCTTACCTCGATGTTTCAAATATTAACCGATTTTAGGTATTATATTCACTGGCTATCCGGTCATTGGAAGCCAAAACCGTATGATGTCGTCAGGATCATGTCTAGATAGCCTTCGAGATGGATTAATCACGGCGTGTGCGTGGGATTCGCGTATAAAGGGCGAATTTTTTCATCAAACAACTTTTAGTGTTTCTCTCACGCATGTCAAAAGTTTTATTAATGACATCAAATCTCTTGTCAAAATTGAACCGAAGTCTCTATGCGGCCTTGAGCTCCACTATGGTATTTTGATGCGTTATGTCACATCCTCTCCGGCTTACCTTGGGAAAGAGACGGAAGCCCTAGACTTTGACATAACATATTACCGAGCCGACGACCCATTAACACCGCGACTCTACGAAGATTTCATCGAGGAAATCGAGCAAATTGCATTGTTCAAATATAACGCATTGCCACATTGGGGTAAAAACAGAAATTTGGCGTTTGATGGAGTGATTAAAAAGTATAAGAATGTGCCAGCATTCTTGAACGTAAAAGAGAGCTATGATCCAACCGGTCTATTCTCGACCGAATGGACCGATCAGATCCTAGGTATCAAAGGAAACGCGACGATAGTAAAAAACGGATGTGCATTGGAGGGTTTGTGTATATGTTCGGAGGATGCTCATTGTGCTCCGGCCAAAGGCTATTTGTGTCGACCGGGAAAAGTTTATAAGGAGGCTAGGGTATGTACACGTGTCAGTGGCACAGGTGTGGCTTTGTCAGTAAGTTTTTAAATATTAGTCTTCGTTACTTCTTATATCAAATTAAGCCATCGTGTGGGTCAATATGTATTATGATAAGTTATATTGCTTATGTTGTTGTAATAATATTATTAATAAAAATTGGCTGAGTTGGCTTATATGAATTACAAAATTTACTTATATATATGTTCGTGCGATAATTTAGTATCTATCGTTAGACAAATCCAATAAAAATTAGGGTTTCAATCGGCGGTGTTGAGGAAAAAACTATTTTGCTTTATCAACCAATGGTTTCTGGTTGTCCCGTTGCGGTGCGAAGTCACGGATCGGATGATGTATCCATGCATCTTTCTTTTATCAATAAGATGTATCCATGCATCTTTGAAAACGATCCATCCGTTAAAAATGGATCCAACAATTACACCAAGGTACGTTTCTTTTACGTTGCCCATGTTCATAAAATTATATGGTCAATTTAATTACAGAAATGTCCATCAGTAAGATAAGATTCTTAATAATAGTTTATAAAACCTAATTTTAGATTACCGATCATTGAGTTTTAAATCTAACTAGATTTTGACCCGCGCTTGAAAGCGCGAAAATTTTTTATAACTAAAATTTATATAATTGGGTTATGTCTTAATTTAAAGAATGTTTTGGTATAAAACCAGTTTATCAAAATTTGTGGTGAAGATTTTTTCATTAGTTTTTAGTTTCAATTTCTATTTTTAGATTTTGTTTTTAGTTTTTAAGTTTCTATTTTTGATTTTCAGCTTTTGTTTGGGTTTTTAATTATTAGATCCGCTGGGTTATTTTGAACTGATATTACCAACAAACAAATTTCAAATAATCGAACATATAATTTAAAACTGAAAAGATTACAAATTTTTTTTTAAAAAAAAATTGCAATAGTTTATTTTGTAAATAAACAAAAGCAAAAACTATAATAATATGTTATCCAGAACAATGCGTTTTCATCTTTTGGTTTTGGGTTTTAGTTTTTAGAATTGGTTTTTGTTTTGCTTTACATTTTTTTTAAATCAGTAAATTATTTAAGAAAAATAAAACAATAAATTATTTAAAAGTTACCTTTGAAATTTATCAAAAAAAAAGTGATTGTTATTTAAAATAAAAAATACAATAACATGTTTTAAAGTACATGATTTAAATAAATGATTAATAATAGACAATTTTGTTTTGTTAAAAATATTAAATATATTTGGGCCTGAAAATAATAATTGATTTTTTAATCCATTAAGATATAAATTTTATTCAATGTTTTTGGAGTTTTTCCTTAATAATAAGCCTAAAAATCAAACCATATAATTTGTCCTAAAAAACAAAAGTAAACCCAAGACTATATCCCATAAATAACCATCGGTTTAATTTTAATGCGGTTCAGTTAATTATATGTCTTGTTGTAACACTCTAGAAAGAGTGTAAATTTAAATGACAATTTGCATTAATAGATAAAAAGAAAGACTCTGTTTTAATAGAATAGATTTCCATTGGTTTCATATAATTATTAAATTTCCATTTTTTTAAGGAGTTATTAAGATGCTAAATGGTATATTACGATTTCCACATTAATATAATTAGTAGATTTCAATATTCTATATTTTGATAATATATATTCTTTTAGAACATTCTATATTTGTAGGAGAAAATATGTGTTTTTGGTAGACACATAGATATCTGCCGTATTTTGAAGATACTTTACATTAAGGTCGCCATGTTACATTAATTGTGTTGGTTTAATTTAAGTAATGCGGTTTAATCAATTATAAAACTTATATTATTTGTAACACTCTAGAAATGGTCCAAATTTAATTGACAACTTGTATCAGTAGATAAAAAAATGTCTTTATTTTAATAGATTAGGTTATACAGATTATTATGACCATGCAAGTAATTAATTTTAAAATCAAAATAAAATTTTAACCTACTCATCATGCGAATTCTTATAAATTTGAAATTCTAATATAATCTAAATATGAAACTGTATCACCCAATGCTTATCATCTATGTTACATATACAAGGGATTTTTATAATAAATACCATATATTATGTTCCATCGTTTCAGCCGCGTATCACTCATGCGACATCATACTAGCATCCCTTGTAACGACTTCTTAAATTTTTCGAACCACTTGCTCATTTTAGCTCATGTTCTGTTTCTTCCAAGTTAGAACAAATGCATTCCCCTCCATACAATTTTATTTTTTAATATTAATCAAAAGAAACATCCATTGTGTGTATTTATTATAATAGAGTTTGGTATTGTCAAGGCACATTCCAAAGTTGAGTTCTTGGTTGTTACGAAATTTATGTGATAATTAATTACTAGTGGATTTTGTCGTGCATATATATATGTTCGATTAAATATTCACCCAGTCAAATTTTGAAGACAACGTCCATCTTTTCCTTTTCAATTGCATTTAGAGAACTTTTAACCCTAAGGGGCTCTTAATTTTTTGTTTGTTTTTATTTTTTATTTTTTTGTCTGATTTTTTATTTAACAATAAATAAATAAATCTAATCAATTGTAAATTAGCACGTGTAAATAGACCTATGAACAATACAATTTTTTTTTAAGAATTGGTTCTTACAAAACAAAAATGGAATGAGTAAGACCATGATTATCACTAGTCTCAAAATGGGTTCTTGGAGGAGGGACCATATTTTTGCAGGGACCAAGAGAAAATGTCCCCAACTAAAAAACGTCTCACACATATTTCTTGTACTGTTTGCGGGTTCCACGAGACATGGCGACCTGTAATTGATTAATTTTGTTTTTTTCCGAAAAAATCCGAAAAATAAAATTTAAGAACTTTTTAGAGTCCTAGTGATAATCATGCTCTAAATTTTTAAAAATGTTGTGGATCCTACCTTTAAAGAACCCCTTAAGGGCATCAGCAACCATGTACTCAAGGCACAAATCCTTAAAAATAGTAGTTATGATTATTTTATTTTATTTTTTTCAGATTTAAAAAAAAAAAGAAAAAGAAAAAAGAACTAACCAATCACATTTTCAGATTATATAAGTGGAGCCCATAAATAGTTAAGAGGTTCAACAAATCTAATCCTTAGCTAAGGAGTTTAAGAGTTTTTGTTGGCACAAAAACATAAATGAAGTGGAGCCTACATAATTTTATATTAATCTTTTTCTTAAGGATCTATTATATTAAAAGAGAAGTCATGACTCACTTCATGTGTGATTTTTAAGTTTGGACTATCCTTAGAAATTTTATATAACATAACATCATTATAATATCTTTTCATATCTTTAATTTTTATTTGAAATACAAATAAATAATTTTAAGAAAAGTCTAACAAAATCTATAAAAAATCTTATAGGATCTTTTCAAGATATAGTTTCAAAAATTATTTGATTAAAAATTTTATTATCAGAGACTATAATTTATTTAATTCATTTTTTAACAAAAAATTAAAATTATGTAATATACTTTAAAAATATCCCAAAATTTTGTTTATGTATTATGTAGGTCCAATTTAATTTACTTTTTATATATTTAAAATTTAGAAATAAAATAAAATATATAAATTAGTAATGTTACATAATAATTTTTTTAAAAATTGTTACAAAAATAAAAATTTATAAATTTTAAATTAATAATATTATAAGCTACATAAATATTATTATAAAATTGGATAGTATATACAATCAAATTATATTTATTTATTGATAAATTTTACTCCCTCCATTACTTAATATATGATATTTTGGATCATAGCACAAAAATTAAGAAATTTACAATCTTTTACAAAAGTATTTTTAAAGATATAATATTATAATCATTCAACAAATTATTAAAAAGATTAAAATTTTATCCGTTGAACAGTTTCCAAGAAAGTTAAAGATAACTTTAAAACCTCAAAATATACCTTAAAATCTCAAAACATCTTATATTTTGAAATAAAATAAATCTTATAAAACATCATCTATTTAAAATGGAGTGAGTATTATATAATTTCAAATATTTTTGTATTAAAATACCTGCACGGTTGTGCGGGTCGAGATCTAGTTTGTGTTAAGAACCATTGTTGCATATGGTCTAAGAACTTGGTTTGAGGGTGCTATTAGATTACATTCATGCATGCACGACAGATTAACATACATAAGTAGTTACTTGAGAACATTACAAATAAAACTACTAATTAATATAAGTAGTAAGTAAAGCAATTCGATTGACGTTCAAAAGAAAAAAAAAAGCAATTCGATTTTTAGCCATGTTTAAAATATATATATTTAACAATTATTTTTTAAGCAATAAATGATGCCAACGCCGATGGGGGTTATTTATGATGACAATATATATGGTTTAATTCTTTAAGCCAGAGAATATAAAAAACTGGCAGCACATAAAAAAATAGATCGAAATTGTTAAAAATTTCTACATTTCTTACAAACTAGCATGAAGTATCTCATCTCAGCCTTTTATAATTTATCAATAATATTATATTTAATTCCACTAAGCCAACCTTTTCCACCGCATAACCTCTTTATATTGGACCAAAAGCTCCAATCACAATGCATTCGTATTCAGCAAAATTCAAACAAAAAAAAAACATGGCATTTCGTTATTCTCCTTCGTATGGTTATCAAAACGCTGCATACTGGCGGTTCATTCTCGTGTTACATGTTATATTTGCACTTGTGCATACGACAGTCTCAACACCTCCGGAAGATCCCGTGATATGTGTGTCAGGAGACACAGATTGTCGCGTCACAAACTCATATGGAGTCTTCCCCGACCGGTCCACATGTCGAGCCGCTAACGTGGCGTACCCAACAACCGAAGCCGAGCTTGTCTCTATCGTGGCAGCAGCTACAAAAGCCAAACGGAAAATGCGTGTAACCACTCGATATTCCCATAGCATCCCTAAGCTCGCGTGCACGGACGGAACCGACGGTTTGTTCATAAGCACAAAGCTTCTAAACCACGTTGTGCGAGCCGATGCAGAGGCTATGACCCTGACGGTTGAGAGCGGCATGACTCTTAAACAGTTGATCGCTGAAGCAGCTAAGGTTAGATTGGCGTTGCCTTATGCACCATATTGGTGGGGACTGACCGTGGGTGGTATGATGGGAACCGGTGCTCACGGGAGCTCATTGTGGGGTAAAGGAAGTGCGGTCCATGATTATGTGACAGAGATCAGGATGGTTAGTCCTGGCTCGGAAAACGATGGGTTTGCAAAGGTTAGAGTTTTAAGCGAGACTACGACTCCTAACGAGTTTAATGCCGCTAAAGTTTCTCTTGGTGTTCTTGGTGTTATCTCTCAGGTTAGATCAACTATTTATTTCTCGGTGTTTAATAAAAATAAAATAATAATTAAATCCTTTCTAACTTGAACTGTTTTATCTTTTGAAGGTGACTTTTAATTTACAGCCGATGTTCAAAAGATCGTTAAAATATGTGATGAAAAACGATTTGGATTTTGATGATCAACCCCTGACATTCGGGAAAAAACATGAGTTTGCGGATTTCGTATGGTTACCGAGCCAAGGTAAAGTTGTGTATCGAATGGACGACCGAGTAGCGGTCAACACAACGGGCAACGGTTTGTATGATTTCTTGCCGTTCCGTTCCCAACCCTCTGCGGCATTAGCCACCATAAGATCATCAGGTTCCTAGCTATCCTTGTTAAAGTTTTTTTTCCAAACATATGAAAACATAATCTGAATCTTTTTGTTTGCGCACCAAACTTTAAATTAAATTGAATCTATATTTGAATATATATTTGAAGAAGATGTAGAAACAGATGTAATCAGGTGATTCTTGCATTCAAGTTTTATTAACTTATAACTTCAATCCATGTCGTGGATAAGAAAACTAGTTGTTGAATGATATTATTATATTTTGACAACTCGACATCTATTATATTTTGGGTCCCTTAAATTTTTTGTCAAAAAGGGAAAATGATATTTTTTTTTTTTTTGGACAACATTTTATTAAAAAACGTCAAACTGTAAAAGGGGAGTACAAAAACTTAATCAACCAATTCGGTGGACAAGTATAAGACATAGCTATAACATGATCTTGAAAGGCCTGTCTTGATGAGTTTTTTTTCCAAACATATGAAAATGATATTTTATTTATTGATGATTTCCTTTAGAAATCATCTCTAGCTTCTTTTTTTTTTTTTTTTTTTTTTGCCAAATCTCGCTATCTATATTTCTCTTTTTTACTACATCGCTCTAACTGCTCTTTAATCATAAGATTTTTTTTTTTGTAATTTATTTTACTTGTATAAAATTTTAGAGGAGAAGAATGAGATATTCAGAGATGCGACTGGGAAGTGTACGGAAGCCACAATAATTTCATCTACACTGTTTGCTAGCTCCTACGGTTTAACAAACAATGGTAATAATTAACTTTCCCTTTTATTTATACATTTTGGGTTGATTGCACATAGGGTATATATTCACTCCCACCTTTATGTTTCAAACATTCAACGTCATTGTTAGGTCTTGTATTCGCTGGTTATCCGGTCATAGGAACCCAAGACCGTATGATGTCGTCAGGATCATGTCTAGATAGCCTTCAAGATGGTTTAACCACGGCGTGTGCATGGGATTCGCGTATAAAAGGCGAATTTTACCATCAATCATGCTTCAGTATTCCTCTCGCGCAAGTCAAAAGTTTCATCGCGGACATAAAATCTCTAATCAAAATCGATCGGAAATCTCTATGCGGACTTGAACTTTATTACGGTATTCTAATGCGTTATGTCACGGCCTCTCCAGCTTATCTTGGGAAAGATACGGAAGCCGTAGACTTTGATCTAACATATTACCGAGCTAAGGATCCTTTAACACCGAGACTATACGAGGATTTTATAGAAGAAATCGAGCAAATTGCGTTGTTCAAATATAATGCATTGCCACATTGGGGTAAGAATAGAAACGTAGCATTTGATGGAGTGATTAAAAAGTATAAAAACGCACCAGCGTTCTTGAAAGTAAAGGAGAGTTATGATCCGGATGGTTTATTCTCAAGCGAATGGACGGATCAAATCCTAGGGATCAAAGGAAACGTGACGATTATAAAAGATGGATGTGCACTGGAGGGGTTGTGTATATGTTCAGAGGATGCTCATTGTGCTCCGACCAAAGGCTATATGTGTCGACCGGGAAAAGTTTACAAAGAAGCTAGGGTTTGTACACGTGTCCGTGACATAAACGCGTAAGTGTACAAGTTCAACAAGTAAGTTGTAAACAAAATCTCCATTGTTTCTTACATCAGAAAGACCCATCATGTTATGGATGGGTCGATATATTTATCTATTATGACAATTTGTTTCATGCGTGTTGATGTAATAACCACTGTAATGCAATTAAAAAAGTTTAGTGTAATAACATCGTTGTTGGTCGTTACGAAATACAATGAAGAAACTGAACTTAAAAGTACTTTGCGAATATGTATGATCCTGTCGGAAAAGTTAAAGTCAAAGTTCCGTGTCTTTTAAGTCTTTGAGAAGCTTCTCGAATCCGTCCAATCTCTGTCCCCAATCGCTTTTGATCCTTAACGGCCTCACGTTAAGGCAATCAACACCGTTATCTTCGGTGGACTTGCTCGCAGAGGATGACAGCTCCAAGCTTCTCATCTTCCTCTTCTTCATTCTATCGGCGTTGGCTCTCTTCCTCTCAGCCGCTGCTCTCTGAATCGCCCAGAGCACGTCTGATCCAGTAATCTTCTTCTCCTTCGGAATCGGTTTAATAGGGTTCGAATTATCGGACCGGAGGATGATTTGTTGGCCTAATCCGCCGATGGATTTGGATGTTTGAGATCTCGTCGGGATTTTACAGAGGCGAAGGTGGATTCCGTCGTAATTACGCGGCGGAGGCTGTGAATAGCCGACGGGGATTGATCCGGTTAGCCCCCTGAAAGATTGAACCGGCATCGGTACCGGTTTTACGGTCCACATCGTGACTTCTGAGCGAATTTATCTCCGTGGCCTTTTTATGAGGCGGTGGACAATCCAGTCCACTCATATTACTACTCAGTAGCCTATTGGGTTTTAAAAATAAGGCCCATTAATCTATGGACCCAATTAAAATTGATTACACGCATTAATTATTGAATACTTTTAGACAAGATACACGTAGAATATTTTAGACGATGATTCGCTTAATACATATATTAGGTAACGGTTTAGGTTAAAAAGATACACTCACTAGATATGACATATAATTTGACCCAAAAAAAAAAGAAAACTAGATATGATATAAGTACAACACTTTGTCACGTGGCTTCGCTACTAAAGTTATATCACGTGAACCGGATACTTATGAACCGAGTCACCCCACGGGTTGCCCACCAATGACTCAATCGCCGGAATCGTTTTCAACGCACTCCACACAATACTATTGCATTTAAAACCCGACCCGAACGCCAACTGCCAGACCCGATCACCTCGCTTGACCCGACACTTAGCCTCTATGTAAGCCAGCTCGTACCACAGAGACGAGCTCGAAGTGTTTCCAAACCGGTGCAAAGTCATCCGAGACGGCTCAAGATCAACTTCACTGAGGCCAAGACCTTTTTCAACCGCGTCAAGTAACGCTCTACCACCAGCGTGGATACAGAAATGCTCAAAACATAGTTTAAAATTCGGAACATATGGACTGCTCTTTAACCGAAAAAGCTTACTCTTCACAATAGAGAGGATAAACCGGAGCTTTTCAGATAATGGCAAAACAAGCGGACCAAGTGTGGTTAGGTTCGTCTTTAACGTGTCGCCAGCAACAATGGTTAGTTCTCTAGATAGTGATACTCCAACGATACCTTTGTCGTCTTCTTTTTGGTCAGCACAAGTGTAATGTTTGTCGCTAGCGCCTTTGTGGGTTCTCACGAGTTGAGTCAACTCGTACTTAGACCGAACTCTATCTTGGCTCCGGTTTGAGAGCAAAACCGCGGCACCTCCTACCCGAAATAAACAGTTAGGGACTAACATGGACCGGTCGTTGCCTCGATACATGCTAAGAGTCATGTTCTCCGTGCTAACAATGACTGCATAGGTATTAGGGTTTGCTTTAAGAAGATTCGTGGCGAGATCGACAGAGATTGCACCGGCGCTGCATCCCATACCGGAGAGATTGTATGTTTTCACGTCGGTTTTGAGCTTGTACCGGTTTACGATCATGGAGGAGAGAGATGGGTTAGGGTTAAACAAGCTACAGTTTACAATGAAGATTCCAATATCTCTCGGTTCGACTCCGGTTTTCTTGAATAGTGAGTTAAGAGCTCCGAAGATGACTAATTCGGCTTCATGTCTCGCCTCGAACATCGATGGTGTTGGTGGAGAGGTCAACATGCAACGTGGGGCGTACGTATCATTTCCTAAACCGGACCGGTTTAGTATCCTTGTCATGAATTGGATTGTTTCTTCGGTGTAGAGTTGAGCACCTTTGGCCATGTTGAAGAACGTTTCGGACGAGATTTTGCAAGAGTCGGTGGGTTGGTGACATGAGAAGTCGACTAGGTAAACTGGTTTAGACCGGGTGCTTGAGTAAGCATAGAACAGGATGGATATGATGAGTAAACCGATCTTGACCGGAAAAGAAGAGAAGAGGTCTTGGTGAAAATTAAGTAGATGAAGCTGAGAGAAATAGAGAACGAAGATTATAAGCAGAGGAAACTTGAGATTTGCCATTGAAATGTACAATGTGAGAGATGGTTGGTTATTGGGTGGGTTTTAATTTATAAGCAACGTACAATATTACAACCTTATGTTGGAGATGAATAGACAATATGGGAATTGCGTTAAGGGCGTTTGTGACGCGGAGAACGTGGTGTGCGTTTTAAGGCTCTACCCCTTGTAATAAAAATATGGTACAAGTTATACAAATAGCCAAAGGTGAACGCACTTGAAACAAAAAAAAGTTTGTAATGTTTTTGTGCCGTGTTAGAAACAAACAAAAAACATATTTCAGTTGAAGAACATATATTAACGACCGATTCAACCAAGTAAAAGCTATCTTAAATTCACTAATTAAGCATTTTAATCATGCTAATCGTTAACATTTTTTATTACCAAACATAGACAGTTCTCCGATTGGTTTGCGTCTACTGCACATAGCTTTCATATTGTCTGAATGAACTTTTATATATTTTGGATTTAGCGGTTTCAAAACTTTTGCACTTTACGTGGGAAAATGTGTTAGAATCATGTGATTTTCCTCAAGTTGATTGATATGGTAAACTAATTAATCCAAAAGAGGAAACTCGTAAAGGGAAAGAACTCTAAAGAAAGAAATAATTTATTACAGATCAGTGATCGGTTGAAGACTTGTCAGCCTATTTTTAATTCTAGGTGAAGTGGTCAGTGGCTGGCAAAGTTGGAAGTGGACCAATGAGAAACATGTATTCGTACGTTTAGGTGAGTGAGTTAGTTGGGCCATTTAATTTATTTAAAAGCCTATAAGTATTAATTCACAGTTATTTCACAGTTAGATATTGTTGTAACTTGTATCCAACATCGTACAAACTCATCACATTTAATTCAACTCTTAAAGAAGTATCTCTTATATGCAAATCTTTTTAAAGAGATCTATTTATGTGGTTCTGAATAATGATTGCAACAAAACAACACAAACTAGATCATGAACGATGTATTATGTATGCCGAACAAAGACTTATAATTGTCGTGTGATGTTTAAATTTAAAGCCTGGCGCGACCAATGTGAAGTTTGTAGAATACTTTGTTCTTAACATACTCAAACTACTTTTCTTATTGTAGTAATCAGTATTTATCAATACAACAATAACTGGAGGAGAAAAACAGGCAATTGAAACGTTTGTAAATTTTTTTAAAAAGATTTTGATAGCTACTGTATGTTTTTAAGGCAGCACTCGACATTTGTTTTGCTATATTTCGCTGGTTCTGGTTTGCATTGATTGCATCGTTGTACTATTAGAAGCCTATATACATATTATTGATTTTTGTAACTTTATTTTGCGCTAAAGAGGTTTTATTTTAACCACATCGAAAGAAAGCCGGCGATCTTAAGGATCCTGGAAACCGATCATGCGGACTACATCATCCTCTCCGGAGACAGAAGCCCACAAGTGAGAGACATGATGAAATCAAAAACTATAAACTAAAGATACAGCAATTTCAAAAGTGCATCCAGGGTCTTACCTGACTTTTTAAAAGTTAGAAACAAGGAAAACAACTTGACCTCAAAAATGATATTAAGCTGATTCGAACATATGATTTTGATCAATGAAATAAAATACTAAACCAATAAACTAACAATGATTCTTGTCAAAACTATTAGAGAATATAACTTTGACCAAGGGATTGCCTCGCTTGCTATTCAATCAGTTTAAGACCAGTCTACTCGTCAGACCATCGATGCTTCCACTGGGGGAGGAATCAGTATATTCTGTATAGATTTCACGTAGATATTAGTAGTTATAGAAATCTTTGTAAATCCCTAAAATCATGTAACATCTGGTCAACCATGGCTCTGAGTACATCAAGCATAAATCTTTTGACTTAACCCAAAAACAAATTTGACAGCTTTGCATGCTGTCTTCAAGAGATCCTTTAATTTGAGAGAAACAAATCAATGTAGCCAACCATGAACAAACCACATACAAACTCATCCTCTTATAGTAAATAGCACATGTAGATTATAAACAAAACTCCATGAAAATAGAGAACTGTAGAAACCTTTCGATTTTAGTAACAGAAAAAATATATTAAAAACAACTTGGTTTTATTATGTCAAGTGGTGACAGTCTAGTATTCTTATAGGATGATGGGTATGAATTAATGCTTCCCTACATCATATTTCTATGTTTTTTTTGATAAATATCATATTCAATTTAAAAAAGAAATTTGGTTAGATTCTAAGTTGGTAATTTGGAGTATTCTTATTTAGGTTTAGATTATGTGAATTCGTACTCGGAATTTTCGAAATTATTCACATATCAAAACGATATTTATTACGATAATGATATAACTATGTCTTTGTCTAAAAAATATGGATTATAACTATGTAAAACACATCTCACAAATATATTGGATTATCTATGTAGATCAATTTGTGGTCCTAAAATGATAGGAAAAAAATCGAGAGACTGAAACATAATTTATTAGAGTCAATTCTCAATGGAGATATCCATTAAAAACATGAAAACTATGTAACACATGTCATTTTTTTTTCTGGAGAACCCCATACAACCGTTGATGATTAAGCAGATGACTATCATCATCATAGCGGGATGACCTATTTCCTATTTGATTGTCCTATAAATAGGGCTGGGCATTTTATCCGTTATATTTGATTCGATTCGTTATTCGTTTTGATTCGATCCGAAAATTCCGGATATCCGTAAACTTTCGAATCAAAGCAAATACTAAAATTCAATATCCGTTAAAATCGAAGCAAATCACAAATAGTAAAATTTTGGGAAGCGGATATCCGATCCGATCCGTAAATATATAAATATATG